TACAATCATTTTGGAAAACGATATGGTGCTTCCTTAGAAAGGTAGAAAAAGAAATATCATATGATCCAGCGACCCCACTCCTAGGAATATATCCTAGAGAAATAAGAGTTGTCACACGAATAGACATATGCACACCCATGCTCACTGCAGCACTGTTCACGATAGCAAAAAGATAGAAACAACCTAGATGCCCATCAACAGATGAATGGATAGACAAACTATGGTACATACACACAATGAAGTACTAAGCAACGATAAAGAACAATGATGAATCGGCGAAGCATCTCACAACATGGATGAAGAATCTAGAGGGCATTATGCTGAGTGAAATAAGTCAATCACAAAAGGACAAATATTGCATGATATCACTATTATAAATATTCATGAAAAGGTTTAAACGCAAAAAGAAACAAACTTTGATGGTTACGAGGGAGGGGAGGGGTGGGGGTGGAAAAACACTAAATAGACAATAGATAAATGGTAACTTTGGTGAAGCATAAGACAGTACACAATACTGGGGAAGCCAGCACTACTTGTCCAAGGCAAGGTCATGGAAGCTGCATAGACACATCCAAACTCCCTGAGGGACTGAATTGCTGGGCTGAGGGCTGTAGGAACCATGGTCTTGGGGAACATCTAGCTCAATTGTGATAACATAGTTTATAAAGAAAATGTTCTACATTCTACTTTGGTGAGTAGCGTCTGGGGTCTTAAAAGCCTGTGAGTGGCCATCTAAGATAGTCCACTGGTCTCACCCCTTTGGAAGCAAGGAAGAATGAAGAAAACTAAAGATACAAGGGAAAGGTTAGTTCAAAGGACTAATGGATCACGTCTACCACGGCCTCCACAAGACTGAGTCCAGTACAACTAGATGGCACCCGGCTAACACCACTGACTGCTCTGACAGGGATCACAATAGAGGGTCCCAGATAGACGTGGAGAAAAATGTAGAACAAAATTCTAACTCACAAAAAAAGACCAGACTTACTGGCCCGACAGAGACTGGAGAAACCCCAAGAGTATAGCCCCCGGATACCCTTTTAGCTCAGTAATGAAGTCACTCCTGAGATTCACCCTTCAGCCAAAGATTAGACAGGCCTATAAAAGAAAACAAGACTAAACCCACCCAGGGGCAAGGACTAGAAGGCAGGAGGGGACAGGAAAGCTGGTAATAGGGAACCCAAGGTCAAGTAGGGGAGAGTGTTGATATGTTGTGGGGTGGTTAACCAATCTCATAAAACAGTATGTGTATTAACTGTTTAATGAGAAGCTAGTTTGTTCTGTAAACCTTCATCTAACGTTCAGTTAAAAAAAAAAATCACCGTGAAGTAAAATTTTGTTGAAGTTAATTCAAAAACAGTTGCAGCAATACATCAACAGAGAACTGCCAGAAATTCAAGCTGGATTCAGAAGAGGATGGTGGAATGAAGGATATCATTGCCAATGTCAGATGGATCTTGGCTGAAAGCAGAGAATACCAGAAAGATGTTTACCTGTGTTTTATTGACTATGCAAAGGCATTCGACTGGGTGGATCGTAACAAATTATGGATAACATTGTGAAGAATGGCAATTCCAGAACACTTCATTGTGCTCACAGGGAACATGTACATACAGCAAGAGGCAGTAGTTCGAACAGAACAAGGGGATATGTGGGGTTTAAAATCAGGAAGTGTGTGTCAGGTTTGCATCCTTTCACCACACTTATTCAATCTATACACTGAGCAAATAATCCAAGAAGCTGGACTACATGAAGAAGAACACGACATCAGGACTGGTGAAAGACTCATTAACAACCTGCGACATGCAGACGACACAACCTTGCTTGCTTTAAGCAAAGAAGACTTGAAGCACTTACTGATGAAAATCAAAGACTACAGTCTTCAGTATGGATTAGGCCTCAACATAAAGAAAATAAAAATCCTCACAACTGGACCAATAAGCAATATCATGAAAAATGGAGAAAAGACTGAAGTTGTCAAGGATCTCATTTTACTTGGATCCACAATCGACGCCCATGGAAGCAGCAGTCAAGAGATAAAACAACGTATTTCATTGGGCAAAAGACCTCTTTAAAGTGTTGAAAAGCAAAGATGTCACTTTGAGGACTAAGGTGTGCCTGATCCAAGCCATGATATTTTCCATCACCTCATATGTATGTGAACACTGGACAATGAATAAGAAGACCAAAGAAGAACAGATGCATTTGAATTATTGTGTTGGCAAAGAATATTGAATGTATCGTGGACTGCCAGAAGAATGAACAAATGTGTCTTGGAAGAAGTACAGCCAGGGTTCTCCTTGGAAGTAAGGACAGCAAGACTTCGTCTCACGTTTTGGACATGTTATCAGGAGAGACTAGTCCCTGGAGAAAGACATCATGCTTGGTAAGGTCGAGGGTCAGTGAAAGAGAGGAAGACCCTACGAGATGGGTTGACACAGTGGCTGGAACGATAGGCTCAAACATAGCAACGATTGTGAGGACACTGCAGGCCTGGGCAGTGTCATTTTGTTGTACACAGGGTCACTATGAGTAGGGGTCAACTCAACAGCACTGAACAACAACAGCAACACTCCAAGAAGGAAGAGAAATGCATACTGGGCAGCCAACAACAGGTATTCATTACAGATGTTCCCAAAGTCTATTTTCTATTCACTCTTTAAAAAGAAATTTAAAACTTTAAGTAACCTAAAACTTCACATATTTTCAGCATGTTACCTAACACATTTTTAGAAAGCAGGCATAAATTAAAGGTTAAGCCATTCACAGAATTTTATTCCTGTAGGTTATTTTATAATCACTAGACCTTGCTATGAAAGTGGTAATACATACTTTAAAGGATTTTATGTTCAAGAAAATGTCCTCATTCAAAGGAAAATCCTAACTCTGATGAGTCATGAACTCAAACATGCTTCCTTAGTAGATGTCCCTCTTTTAGTGTGGTGTTTAAAAAAACACGACTTTCTATATATTGTCAGATCACAAAAGCACACACTGAAATGTAATAGTCTTTTCACAAAGCATGGCACCCATCATCACCTTTGATCACATTCTACCCTGTGTTATCTGGAGCCTAGCTCCAGCAAGGTGTTTTTTCTTTTTTTTCTCTGTATCTTTATCTTCAAGAGTTCTCCTTTTAAGAATTCTGGCTTCCCCTGGGCCAACCTCCTCTATTCCCACCTTCTTACACTCCCAGTACTTTTTCAAACTGAAGTTCTTTATCTGTCCTTTATTTGCTAAAAATGCAGGAGAGAGCCTAGTGTGAAATGAATACCTGCAGTTCACCCCACCTCAGTTGCTTGCAACCTGTCTTCAGCTTCTGTAATGTAAGTCTCCTTAAAGTTATCAGTGACATTAATCTTCATCCTACTGAAATATTTACATGGTAATACCCCCTTTTTGAGCTTGCTCCTCTTATCTGATTGGTCTTCCTCTGTCATCCCTAAGATATAGTCATGTCTGTTATATTAATTACTCTCACTTCTCTTTTATCCATCAGATAAAACCCAAACAGGTTTAGTAAAGCTCTGAAAATGATCTCATGATCTGGCTCTATGCTTTCAGCTTTATCGTTTCTTCCTTTCATTACCACATTGACTGACAACTCACTACTCAAGAAATGTCACCTGTGCTTTCTTTTTTTCCCAAGGTTCCTTCAAAGTCCAGCTAAAATGTTTTCTCCTCCATGAACCCTTCTCTGGTTCCCTCAAGCCATAAATCACTACTTCCATCTCCATCAATAGGTCTAAGCTACCACCAGCTCTTGATTAGACAACTGCAGAAGCTTCCTAACTAGTATCATTGCTTCTTGCCTGTCTCTTTGTTTCTCCATACAATCACCAGAATGATCTCTCATATAATCCAAACTCCTTCCCATAACCTAGAAAGCTCCTCAATATCTGGCCTCTGCTAATGCTTATTGGTCTAGGCACTGTGCTCAGTACTTTACTTCAATTGATATAATCCTGTCAATGATCCTATGAGCTATGGACTTTTTTGGTTGTGAAAACACATATAACACACTTGCCAGTTCAACATTTTTCAGGTATACAATTCAGTGCTGTCAACTACATTAATCATGTTGTGTAATCACCACTCATAATTGTTGCCAAATTTCCCATCAACATAAACACTGCTTCCTAAATAATGTGCGCTATGGACTTTTAAAACCCCCATTTGTAGCAGATGCTACACCCAGATCCCTTTTTCAGGGATGGTACACTCACACACCAGCTACTGCCAACAGCTCATGCTTCCACCCTTCTTTGGAGGACCGCCCTTGGCTGAGGAAAGGCACCTGGGCGTCTGACTGATGGGCCAACATAACAGCCAAGCCCGCTCGCCTCTAGGCAGGACAATGTCTATGGTGCAATTCACACACTGCAGAGTGCCCTGTAGGACCAGGCTGAGACTGCATTTCTCCTGAAATCTCTTCTTCTCCTGCCCCATCCAGGTTTTTTATTTTGGGTTTTTCACTTCATTACAGATTTCTCATAAGAGCACTCCCTCAATAAATCACTTGCCCAAGAATCCTCATCTCAGACGTTGCTTCAAAAGAACTGATCTAAGACACCATTTATAAGCGAGGGAAGTTGAGACAGAGAGATGATTTGCCTCAGATCAGAGAGCAAATGGGATATTTGAAAGACAGTCTGGCTCCCAAACTTGTTTTTACCACCATACTGTACTGGCTACTTCTCCAACCTTCTCTCAGAACACTACCTGTCCTCACTCATCCCCTTCTGTTGTTGCTGTGTGGCATTAAGTCCATTCCAACCCACAGTGACCTTACGGGACAAAGTAAAACCACCCTATAGGGTTTCCTAGGCCATAATCTTTATGCAAGTAGATTGCCAGGTCTTTTCTCCCGAGGAACTCTGAACTGCCAACCTGTCAGTTAGCAGCCGAGTGCTTAACCACTGCACCCCCAGGGCTCCTCATCCCCCTTTAGTCAAGTTAATCTGGACCTCAGGGTCTCTGTACTTCTATTTTCTCTGCCTTGGATGTTTTTTCTCTAGCTTTCTGTGGCTTGCTTCCTCACTCCTTTCAAAATGTTTCAAATATCACCTCCTCAAAAAGCCTTTCCTGATCCCAACCACTAAAATTGTATCACTATCTCCAACTCTGCTTTCATTTTACTTATAATTATGTTTAGTATCTGAAATTATATTATGCATGTATTTGTTGTCTGTCATCCATACTAAAATGAAAATTCCACAAGGGCACAGATGCTGTCTGGAGTATTTACTGCTTGGAAAACTATCTGGCACAGAGTAGGAGCTCAGGAAGTGTTGTTGAATGAGTGAAATGAGTTCTTTCTTCCCAGAATCCTACAGGGCTCCGTAGAAATCTCCTTGTATGTTCTTAATCTAAACTATAATCATTTAATGCACATTTTATTCATTCTGCTAACTGGCATGCTCTGAGAGGACAGGAATTATGTTTTAGTAATTTTGGGGTACATAGGAAGCATTCAAATAATGGTGCTACCTCTAAAATCCGAAATATCAACTGCAGTTTGTCTTCTACATAGGAATCAATATCAGGATTTCACATGAATTATAATATAATCCAGAAATATGAAAAAAGTCATAATTTATAAAGTATTCCTATGCAAGTTATAAGAGATTTTAGTAAAAACAATTAGGTATTTATCATTTCATCTTTATTTTAAAAACAATGCCGTTTTCAAAATATAAAAAATAGACCTATTTTCAAAGTACCATTTAAATATGGCTTTGAAAACCACAATGTTTTATTTACAAGAAACAGACAGTAGTGCAACAGCATTCATGTTTACGATAAATAAAAATATAATTATTTTTCTGGCATTCTGGCAGGCCTTTATATTTTAGACACTACAATGACTCATAAAAGTTAAATCAATAATGGCCATTAATGTAATTTGTATCTAAACCTGAACTGATCAACCAACGTAGATTAACCATTTACTTGGGATCTGGACCCATATACCTTAAAGCTAAAGAGAGTATTTTAAAGAGGGCTGTAGCATCGTTTCCATTTCTATACAGTTTGTCAACAAACACATCACAAACATTCCAGCAGCTGTATAAGGGGATCTATTAGCACCTCCAATAAGTGATTTATAGCCATATATGCTAAATAAAGGCCAATACAGCTGGATCCCAGAAGTTCAGATTTTAGATATTTAAAATACACTAAGTGCCCATGCCAAAACACAAGAACTAGACACAGGAATACATTTTAAATCATGGGAGACCCTCTGGAAATGAAAACATCAGCGATGGAATGACAAAAGATAATCAGATATTTTTCAAATTAAGTAGTACTATAACTTCCATATTTCACTAGTTACTGCCTTCAAATGGAGTTAAAACTAAAGCCCATTTACAGTGGAGTCTTTCTTAACAAAATTTCCTGATTCTAAAAGGGTCTGGATTTGGCCAACAACTTTTTCCACAATTCTTAAAGCTTAATTTACCCTTGAAACATACAATCTGACATTCTTGTTAGAAGCTATCTTCTTACTATTGCACAATTTTAAAGCCAATCCAGGCAAATGAGTTTAGAAAAAGAAGCAAATTCATCTAATCCACTTAGCAAAGCTTCTACTTCACCGATGAAATGGACAAATCTATGCAACTTCATGCCTGATGTCAGTTTTAGCATTGTGTTGATGGCAGCAATTTCAGGCAGAGGTAGCCAAGCCCCATACACGCAGGTAGGCAAAAAGCAGAAAACACTGTGAAAACTTAGCAGTTCTTCGACGTCTTCTATTGATTACAGACCACTTTCAGTTGTGAGCCACGTTGCTGTGCGGTGTTCTTCTGAATCTTACATTTCAAACACAAAGGAGGATGTTGCTGCCTTGGGCCGATATATTGGAATTATCTTCTTTTAGCCTACTTTGTTTTCTTTCGCGTCAAGTAAAAAAAGTAAGACATTTTCATATACCACAAAGGTAATACAGCAGGCTGGAGTCACTCTAATCAAATTGGGGGCAATTCCTTTATAAAATCCAGCGATGCCTTCTTTCCTTTAGAGCAAAAAAGAGATAAATGCTTAGTTTCCTAAATGGTTAGCCTGAAAATACAAATGTTTAACTGACACAGGGCATGGAACAAAGAGTCAAACTTCACTATGATTTAAGGCCATGTTTTCAATATCCTGAAATAATGGAGTTTATGACCACTTGGAAGGGCTTACATTCTTTTCGTGCACTGAATGAGAGAGAGGGCAAGGACACCTCAAAACTGAACTCAGAAGTGCTTTAATGATAACCATCTTTCAAATCCCTTAATGTATGCAGGAATGTAGGTATTGAAAATCTCACAGCTTACATAAATGCTGGACAACACTAAATACAGCACACGCAAAAATACAAGCTTATTTTTCCTTAATGCCCAGAATAAAGAATATGGCCTAAGAACTTGGCCTTAGATTTTCAATAAATATTTTCTGAATTGAACTAAATTTAAACATTTTAAATATTCTGCTCTACGCTTTTTACAATAAAAGGGAAATACAGAGATGTTTAATTATAACAGTCTGACTATTCCCACGTTAGACGCTGAAGAACAACCATCTCTTCCATACACGGAAACAAGTATTTGCAAAAGTTATGATGCCAGTAGCAGGTGTAGGCTCTTCTCAAATGTATTAACCTTTTTTTTTTTTTTTTAATGACTTCCAATATGCAATGTCACAAGCCTCAGGAAGACTAAGGTATAGTAACTGGGAAAGCAGGGACCACCAACCATCTTTTCATCACAGCACACTGGTCTTTGCTATAAAACAAGTATCAACTAGACAGTCTAAGACATGCAAGATTCCTTCTAAGACCAATTTGGATATACCCCATGCTCTCACCTCCATGTCCTTGCGATTACGTCCCACACACCATTGTAAAAAACATGTTGATCCTGAAGACGAGCTCTCACGACTTGATATGGGTATGTTGCTGCGACAGCAAATATCTTGGATAGTGCTGCAACACATATATATTCTACTGTGCTCTGAAATGACAACACATATTTGTTTTGTTTTTTTTTTTTAGAAATATAAAAGTCAAAATTATATAGGAAAACATTTAAGTGGATCTTTCAGTGAAAAATACCATTCCCCTCCCCTTAACAATTAAGGGGTTCTATTTTTCTGGTGGCACGGTGGCACAGCAGTTAAGAGCTATGGCTGCTAACCAAAAGGTCGGCAGTTTGAAACCACCAGGCACTCCCTGAAAACCCTATGGGGCAGCTCTACTCTGTCCTATATGGTTACTATGAGTCGGAATCGACTTGACAGCAATGGGTATTTTTAACATTTGTGTACCATTAACCTATAATATATTAAATTATAAATTAAATTAGTGGCAGAGTCAGTACTTATAATCACAGCAACACTACCAAAAGCTAGCATGACAAAATTCCCACCTATAAAGTGCCCATAAAAATAAATGATACCATTTTTCTCAAGAATCATCTTACCAACTGGGCTTCTGGTAATCTATTGATATGCTGGTTGTACTTCAACTTCAGCAATTCATATGCCATAAACTGAAGGGCACCGTGTGATGTTCCAAATAGCCCAGGAACAAATCCCTAGAAGGGAACCATTTTTAAAAAACCAAAATTAAGCTAAACAATATACTTTCAAGAAAATATTTTCTCTCCTTTCTTAGTGTAATAGTTAAGCAAATTCATTGTTTAAGTTTTGCATAAATCACATTTTTTGTAAATAGAATTTTAAAAACATATTCTTTTCTATTTCATTTTTTAAGTTAAGGCTTGAATTTTCACATCTTAGTCCTTCTTTAAACAGGATACATATCAACATAAAAAAAGACCCACACTATAAGGTCAGGGAGCCCTGGCGGCACAGTGGTTAAGTACTTGGCTACTAACCAAAAGGTCGGGAATTTGAATCCACCAGCCGCTCCTTGGAAATCCTATGGGGCAGTCCTACTCTGTCCTATAGGGTTGCTATGAGTCGGAATCGACTCAATGGCAACAGGTATAAGGTCAGAAAAACTGAAATTTCTAACTTGAAATAGCTCTGGAATAGAAACCATGACTGAGGTTTTTAGACCTGTATTGCCGCTAACACTAAACAACTTTGAACAAATTTTTAGATGTCTTCCATCTTTGGTTTCATTACCTATAAAGTCAGGATGTTGGACTGGATGACCTATTCTAGGAAAACCACCTAGTATGTTGAAAAGAAATGAGAACTTTGACAAAACAAGTGATTCTCTTGTGCTCATTAATGCTTAAAACGTCTTTTGACACTATCAAGAACTGGTGTGTTGGTGGAAGATTAACTTCTGGAAAGTTAAGAAAGTAAAGGTAATGGTAATTCAATGGACTGATTATCAGTATTCTAAAAGAATGAGGCAAGAAATGATGAATGATATATTGAATCACGTATTTCCAAAAGTTTTGCTCACAGGTCAGTAATTCTTGACACTAATCTTATAATGCTAAGGATTTTAAAAGTTATTACATAATTTTTGAAAAACAAACTAAAATTTAATGTAACTAATTTTTATTTTAAACCATGCATGGAGGTAAACAGGAGGCAGGGAAAGGAGTTGGAGAAGGTGGGAACAGGGAAAGGGAAAAGGAATTATAAAATCAGAAAACATCTTACTGACACTACGAAGAAAATTTCAAAACTACTACAATAAGCAAGGGGCTGTTTTTTGTTGTTTAATTCATGTAAGATCTGGTCAAAGATACTCCCCTTGAGACAGACTGGAATTGTTATACATTTGGAACACTGACCATGAGGTCAATAAAATCTCCTAAGATCCTGTTAGACCCACTGATGCCTTCTCCCCATTACATTATCCCAAGTTCCCAAGAGACCATAGCTTTCAGGGAGAAGAGTAGAGACTGAATCACCTGGTTGTGTGACCTCGTGAAAACGTCCTGAACATAGTGTTAGACTGCTTCTCATACTCGCCATTGTCATAATGATACATCTTACAGTAATGAGGATAAACATTGAAGTACAATGTCAATATTGTAAACAAGATTTCAGTTTTTATTGAATTGTTTCTTACTTAGAATTTGGCTTCTTTTTAGGACTGACTAGGTTATTCAGAACTCAGACAATAAAGCCAATGGAAGTTACAATTTTCAGTCATTCAAAATATGATGTTGATAGTAAGTTATTACCTTATACAATCCACGCACACCTTCATACTTATATATTTTCACAAGTGTATCAAACATTCCTTTATACTGTCGCTGTGGAGGGTTAACCTCACTCTCATACTGTAACATAAGACGAGTTTTTGCTACCCATAATGGGTTTGTAATGCAGAGGGTCATGGCTCCTAAAATCAGATTTCAATAAGATTATTCAGCATACAAGCACGTTCTCATTTCTGATAATCCAAATTAAGAACAGTTCATTTATATAAAGAAGCGGGTTGCACAGGGGCTGTACCACTTGACAGTGAGATGTGGTCTCCAAGCCACAGTCTTAGGTTTGTTGTTGCTATGGTTAATTGCTGAGTGTCCTAAGTAGTCACTTACTCAACAAACATTGATTGAGTCCTGTTGTGGACTCTGCAAACAGTTAGGTATTCAAAAGGGAGTAAGATATTTCTTGTCTTAAAGAACTTACAACATTAAGAACATTATAAAACCAAAAGAAACAAGGTATCAAAGCAGGAGTTCCAAAGACTTACGGGTCTTACTTTGTGTTTTTCCCTCTGGAGGGAAAAACATATGCATGAGGCAATTAAACAGGCTACTAACTTGTATAATTTTAAATTGAAATTATACTTTAATTAAATAAACACTCTTATCAAATCATCTTAAACTATTAATGGATTCATAATTTTGCTAAATTTTACCACCATTTGTGATAAGTAAAATTCTTGACATCTATCCAGAGTAATAAAGTGAAATATCTGCCTTCTAAGGAATTTCATGTGGTAACTGAGTAATATAGTTAGATAAGCATATTTGAACTCTGGCGTTCAAAGGAAAAAGGGAAAATAAAATCAAAGATGAAGTAAAAATCAAGTTGGAAACTAACATTTTGTATTTCACACTTTGCCTTACCAGCTTCAGCAGCTGAAACAAGGTATTCCATTGCATCTAACCGTTCAGCTCTTCCTTCTGTCTTATATGATTTGATGGCATTGTAACTAAAAATTTAAACACAGTCTGATAAGTATTTGAATATGTATCATAAAACACTAAAGTCTGTTTGAAAGTGTGTTAACAACAGTACCCCAGAAGTAATGCATATTGCAACCACAAAATGAGACCTTTTCAAGAATGGATTTGCTGAAAATGGTGTACTATAAGATTATAATATACGAGTATTAAGCTTACAAACATAACCGGTTAAACATTTCACCTTCCTGAATTCACTTCATCGAAGTGGCTTCTGCAAGGAGTATTTCACCATCTCATCCACTTTCTTCCTATTAAGAACTTTTTTCCAGAACAAATGCCTCTGGTAACAGCTAACAGAGAATAAAACTAATAAACGATCTTGCTCTTTCTGACCCTTCCAATTCAGAGAAATTGATTAAATGAGTCATCTTGCTTTATCAGCTGACATGTAAAAATCATCAGGAAAAAAAAAATTCACTTTTACTTAGCATTGTTAAAATCTCCCAGATTTACTCACAAGAAAAAGTAGAGTCCCCAGGATAAGCCTGCACCCCACACATTTGGGGTTACACCTTGGTAAAGTCCACGTAGTCCATCAAGTTTCCAAATACTAGTCAAACAATGCAAAATTCCTTTATACTTCGGTCTCAGTTCCAATCCATCACTCACTGCATTAAAGGATACACAAAATTAGGTGAGAACAAAGTTCTAGCTCTAAATCACATATAAACATACATATCACACAATCAGTAATATAAAAAAGATTCAGAAAAAAAAAACTTTCAGGTTGAGAAAATTATTTTCCAGATTATTTAATATTTTTTAAATTAACTTATTCATGCATTTTACATCAGTATTTGGAGGCCTGGGTGGCGCAGTGATTAAGAGCTATGGCTGCAAACCAGAAGGTCCGCAGTCTGAATTCACCAGCCAGTCAGAAGAAACCTATGGAGCAGTTCTACCCTGTCCTCTAGGGTGGCTACAATTGACTCGACGGCAACAGGTAACGGGGGGTGAGTAAGTACTTACTGAGCATATACTAATAAGCACTCAAATAATATTGTAAAAAGTGTTGGATTCCCTTTTTTAATATTTTATATGTTTGGTGAAAGTATACACAGCAAAACAGGGTCCCATTCAACAATGCCTACATATTTTTCAGTGACATTGATTATACTCATTACATTGTATCAACATTCTCATTATTTCTGTTCTAGTTGTTCTGTATCCATTAACCTAGTCTTACTGCCCCCCAATCTTCTCATCTATGCTTTAGAGTAACTATTGACCAAGGGTGATATTCCTTGTGAGCTCATTTGCTATTTTGCTAAAAGATGACTTGAGGGGATAGTTTCAATTCAAGGTTTAAAGAGGATCTCAGGGCAATAGTCTCAGGAATTCCTGTAGACTCAATGGGTCCAGTAATTCTGGATTTGTTGAGAATTTGAAGTTCTGTTCCACATTTTTCTCCCTTTTTATCTGAATCCATCTGTTGTGGTCCTGATCAGAATGTTCAGTAGTGGTAGCTGGGCACTATCTATTTCTTCTGGTCTCAGGGTACACCACGGTTCATGTAAACAATTAGTCCTGTAGGACTGATTCCTTCTCTGAATCTTGGATTTCCTGCTTTCTCTTTTGCTCCATAGAACAACAGTTGTATCTTAGATGGCCTCTCACAAGCTTTTAAGACCCCAGATGTTACTCACCAAACTAGGATGTAGAACATAAACTTTATTGACTGTATTAAGCCAACTTACTGAGTTGTCCCATAAGACTATGACCTTAAGTCTTTGAACCAAGAAAACTAATCCTGTGAGGTGATTGCTTATGTTTAAGAAGTATCAGTTTCTGTAACCCTTATTTGTTCTATACGTACATACACGTACATACATACACATGCTGTTGCTGCAAAATTATATGTAACATAGCATTTACCCAAATATCCTTTTTCTTGTGTACAACTTAGTGGCATCAGTTACCTTGGTCAATCTGTGCATACTTCACCCACATGGATTCCCTCTTAAATAATCCAAAAGCTTCTCAGATACATTTCCACACGTAATTTTTCTTTTGTTATAGATGCCCAAAACTTATGATTAAAGTGACCAAAAATATTATTCAAAAAATAAACTAGCTAGCTAATTATAACAAAAATGCTGTCAAATCCTGAGTAGTGTAGCAGGAAAGAAAAACATGGATGCAATAAAATTTTGGGGGGAAATTCTACAATTTCTCCCCCCTACACACCAAAGTCAGAATTCATATACCTTTTTCTTATTCTCAAAAGCTCTGAACTAGTAAAATATGATAGATTAAAGCAAAAACAAATTTATATGACATATATTTTGTATTTCTTAAATAAAGGGAATTAAAATTTCTTTTGAAAATTATCACTTATTTGACTAAATGATTTTAAACTTCTATTTGGCAAAAGACTCCACAAACAAATAACAGATTGAGAAAAAATATTTATTATATATATATATAAAATGAGTTAATATATCTACTATGTCAGAAGTACCCACAAATCAATAAGAACAACAAACAGCCCCAAAGAAAAATGGGCAAAGATATGAACTGTCAATTCACAGAAAAATACAAATAGCCAAGAAGCACCGGAAAGGTGCTCAGCCTCACAGATAAAATAAACGCAAATTAAAATAAGACAGCTTCCCCCGCCCCTTTTTTTAGGCCTTCCATATGAAAAACAATTTTAATGTTTCTTAATATCAATTCTTGGTGAGGGTGTATGGAAATAGGCACTTCTCATGCTCTTTTAGAGAGCAATTTATAGCAGTTACCTATTTAAAATTTAAATGCAATTATCCTTTGACCTAGCAGTTCCATTTCTAAAAATATATTCTATAGAAATACTAGCCTAAGTATACAAAGATGCATATAGAAGGATATTTGCTATAGCATTTTCTGTGATAGCAAAAGTGAAAGTAACTTCAATAGTCATCAACAGGGAAATGTTTACATAAATCATGATACATCTGTAGTATGAACCACTGTAAACATTTAAAAAGATTGAATAGGTCTGACTATATTAATAACATAGATATAACTACCTTATTTTTTAAAACCATTCTCTGCCACTATGTATATATTTTTTACATATGTTTGGGTATGCCTAGAAAAAGGAATAGACCTTGCCTTCTAGTTTCAGGTTGAATTGGCCCAATGGGGAAACCCTGGCAGGAGATCTGAGGGATGGAAGAGAACGGCTTCAGGGTATTTATTCTTCCTGCTCCCTTTCTTGGGCTGACCATGCCCCTCTTCTGAAGGTCTCATAACCAAAACCCAAACCCGTTGCCACTGAGTTGATTCAGACTTATAGCAGCCCTATAGGACAGAGAAGAACTGCCCCATAGTGTTTCCAAGGAGCAGGTGGTGGTTTTGAACTGCTGACCTTTTGGTTAACAATCGAGCTCTTAACCACTGCGCCACCAGGGCTCCTAGCTCCTCTCAAAGTGGCTGTTTCTCCAGGACTCTCTCCTCTTGTCCTTTGGACCTATGGGTAGCGACAGCCCAAGCTGTTTCTAGCCCCAGGGTACCACATTATTCCTTGTGGTTTTCCTACAACCTGCTCACATCTTTGTAAATATTCCTTTTATTAACCACCCTCATGCCCCATAAACCTGTTGCCGTCGAGTTGATTCCGACTCATACTGACCCTATAGGACAGAGTAGAACTACTCCATAGGGTTTCCAAGGCTGTAATCTTTACGAAAGCTGACTCCCACCTCTTCCTCCCACGGAGTGGCTGGTGGATTCGAATCGCTGACCTTTCAGTTAGCAGCCAAGTGCTTAACCACTGTGCCACCATGGATCCTTTCTCATGCCCCATAATTATTTTATTTTGAATGTGTCTTCTGTTTCTTAAAGGGACATGGAATTAAAAAGAATGCTAATTTATACTGTAGATTATATTTTAAAAAATTGGTACTTGGCTACATATGATTTTGTATATTCCTTTTTTTCCATGAGAATACATTGTGAGCATTCACCTCATTATTAAATAGACTGAAAGTATATTCTGTACAACAATTTGAATGAATTCTTATTATTTTCTTGAATTAGCTATTAGGAGGGGAATTAATATGGATCAAAGGGTATAAATTTAAGGTTACTTGCATACTGAAACTGCCCACCAAAATGTTTATACAAATTATAGCCCCATCAGCCACACATAAGCACATTCAGTTAGCTGTCCTTACTTTCACTACCAATACTTTACAGTATATAATGGAGCCTGGGAGAGAAGAATCATCAACTATTTACCATTGACAGGCAAAGGGGGAAAAGTCAATTTCTTTCATCATCAACCTGACAATGTTACAGCATCAAATAAGATTAAAGTACAGAGGGTTTGATATCTAAGTTTGCTAATTAGCTACATGGTCTTAACCCTTCTGAGCTTCAGCATCCTCATTTATAAAACGGGGATTAATATCTCACCGTATTTTACAACAAGTGTAAAGGCAGGTAGTCATACGCTCATTTCTTTCTATATTGTTCATCAAAAGTCACACACATCTTTAACAAGCAGAATGTGAGGCTTTCAGGTTATTTTAGAAAATAATCATTTTTACACCTTTTTTGTCAGGCTCTGTCATCATTCTTGATGATTTAAAATTACATCTTAAAATTAGAAGGGGTCTCAACAGTCATCTACTCCAACCCTCCCAACCAATACAAGGATATCTTCTAACTTCTGTCACCCAGCCTCTGTCTGAAGCACTTCAGTCATCACAATGCAGCTGTTTCACTTCTGGGCACCCCCGCTTTGCCAGGCCAAAACCTGCTTCCCTGTAATTTCCACCTAACCTACATCTGCCTTTTGGATCCACTCACAATAAGGCAACTCCCTTTCCCACATGGCAGTTCTCTGAATATCTTAGGTGTTTTGTTTTTCCCCTTTAAGTTAAACTAGTGCCTCCAGTCATTTTCTCCCATGAAATGATCTCTAATTTTTCTAACACCCTGGACACCTTCTTCTGAATGAGTTCCAATTTGCACCCGAACTCAATGAAAAACTCCAGGTTTAGTTCAGTGGTACATTCAAGACTAATAACCCCATCACTAGATATTACAATATTATCAAAAGGGCTTAATTATATGAAAGCATAAAAACTACAGTAGGTCATTTCAGTAATGATGCCGATAACCAACCATTTTGATCTCGGTTATTCATCTTCCTATATTTTCCTTTTTTCTATCACCATTCACAGCCACAGTGTGGGCTTTATTACTACGAAGCTCTGCTTTGACTCCTAGATCTTTAATTTAGTCCTTTCATTCAGTCTTAATCTCCTACCTGTCACCTCGGCCCTACTGGTTTCCTAATACTCTCCCCACTTCATCAAGATTACCAATCTTCTCAGGTACCAAGAATTCCCTTTCTTCAGACATGGTCTGCTTCTTAGCACTGTCTTAAACTCAAGGCGCTAACCATACTACTTCTCAATGATCATCTCAACTGTCACCTCCTCTGCTCCTAGGATACAAAACACTGCTGAAAAGAGACACCAACTCATACAGGCCTGCACCTGCAGCCAAGTTTAAAATTCTCTTCTTCATGTTCAGTGGTATAGCAGGGATTCCTAGATGTAGTATGGTAAGTGATTAAGTGCCCGAGGGTTCTAGAGTTAGACTGTCTCCTGGATTCAAATCCCAGATCCATCTTTTACAAACCTGTGACTCAGGCAAGTTAGTCAACTTCTATTATCCTCATCTGTACAATAGGAATAATAAATTCACAGGATTGTTAAAAGCAGTAAAAGAGATAATACATGTAAAGCTCTTAGTTCATTCTCTTGCTACTAATAATGTTCAACAAACGTTCCCAAGACCACTGCCATCTAGTCAATTCCAACTCATAGCAACCCTGCAGGATGGAGCAGAACTGCCCCATACGGTTTCCAAGACTGTAAATCTTTGCAGAAGCCAACTGCCACATCTTTCTCCCATGGAGCAGCTGGTGGGTTCGAACTGCTGACCTTTGGTTAGCAGCCAAGATCTTAACCACTGCACCACCAGAATGTTACTTATCATAATTATTATTTGTGCATCATTATAAACTCCATGAAATTATATGCCTTTACGGAGAATTTTTTTTGTAAGGAGACACTCTAATTTTAGCTGATTCTACTTCATAGAAAGCTCCTTGTCTCCTCTCGAGCTAGCAAAACACTAGTCCTTTTAATGGGGAACTTCAAGATCTAATCTTCTATGGAACACTTACCGAAAAACACGGCCATCAGCAAATGTATAATTTTCTTGATAGTGTACTATACTATTATTTTAATATTTGGATTTATTTCATTCTGCCCTTGATTTCATGTTACCTAGTATTATCTGTTTTATATGACCAACTTTCAAGCTTACAACTAGACTTTAAGCTCCTTGAGGGCAAGAACTTTGTTAGGTATTTCTGTGTCCCATACAGCAGTCTACAAATATTAAGAGAACAATACTTCTCTGGTGAATTGAGTTACCTAACTCTTTATGATAAACCACCTCTGCAGACCTAATTCTCACGGCATAACTTAATTTGTAGTAATAATACCAGGAAATAGCTTCCAAATAAAGTTATAAAGACCATCTATGAAACTATCTTTTCCAGAATTTAGTGTTGCGTTTAACTTGTAAAATGCTGTTAATTTCAATATACTTAATTCAATTAACTCAATACATTTAATTCAATAAACTTAAACAAAACCACAGTATTTGGATCCTGGCTACCAATCCCATCATGTTTTGTACCATATTACAAACGCTAAAAAACCAATTAACCTTCAAGAGAATTCCACCCTAAACCTACTCCCAACCACCTACCAAGGATTATGCTCTATTCCTAAGTGCCTGCATTTTCTTTTCAGCAGAGTTGCCGAGCACGTGTTTACCCTAAGATTTCAAAGTACCTCCAAGCTGTGGGGTGGGGGCTAAGCCCTTAAATGTGACAATACCTTCTTTACTTTACATCAGGCTTTGAGTCGCACATTCTACACAATGAGGATTCTTCTCAGAGTTTTCTACCCACACTTCACATCTTGGGGAGGATGGAGGAGGCAGCAGCCAGACACCTTTACCAGGCTCCTCTTCCTCAAATCTAGTTCCAGATGAGCCAGGACAAAAGCATCCTCTCCAACGGTCTCCTCCTCACAGTACGGAAAATGTAGGACAGATCAGGGCATTCTTTTGAGTTTACCAATTGGTTCAGATGCTGGTGCAGTCAGAGACCTGTCCCACTTTGCCAGCCCCCGCCTTGTCCGCCGTCAAGCGGGGACAACGATGTCAGGGACTCTGAATTCCAACGATGAGGTGAGAGAAGGACACTCGGGCTAGGAGTTGGGGGGGGGGGTGTCTAGGACAGAGAGATGACAGCGAGGGGAAGGAGTCCGGGGTCTAAGCGGGTTCTTACCGGCGAAGCGTATTTTCACGAGATCTAGCGGGTGCAGCGCGAGGTTGGACAGCACCCCACCGCTCACGCCCGCCACCAGATTCTCGTATCGGACGTGGCGGAATATCGTGCTCCATGCGGACGACCCTGACGCCGACTGGCCCTGGCCCGTCATAGGCTCTGGACCCGTTGACACCACGGCGCCCAGGGCGGCGGAGGTAGGACGAGACGCAGTGGCTGCCACCGTGGCGACGGTAGCCGCCGGGAGCAGAAACCGAGGGGCGCGAGCCCAGTTCCGTGACTAGCACGTGGACCGCGACACGCAGAGCTGGAGTACAGCCCCGAGATTTAGATGTAGAGGCGGAATGTGAGGGACGCAGGTGTACGTCACACTGGCGAAGAACACGAGGGAGGCGGGCCCCCGTCTCCGCCTAGTCCCCGCCCCGTCTCGCTGCCGGCGCCTGCAGGCTCGGAGAAGAGGCGTGAGTGGGAGCCAACAGCTGAAGAACCGCCCCCTGCTAACCTTTGCCCGTGAAACTACGGAGCGCCGCAGGATTCAGCTGACCCGCGGGCTTCAGCGACTTGAAGTCGTGACAGGAAGTAGTCTGGGAGAAGCGGAAGTCGCATGTGCGGAAGAAGGCGATAGTAACGGGAACCAGGAGGGAAAGACTCGTGGAGCTGGGGAAAACGAGCCGTCAAGATGAAGGTGAAGATGCTGAGCCGGAACCCTGACAACTATGTCCGCGAAACTAAGTTGGACATACAGAGAGGTGAGACTACTTAGTAGAGAGAAAGTCTACCTCGAGTCACCGGGTAAACCTCTGCTTTCTCGGGGTAAAGCCGGGAGGAGGCTGGTGCTCCATTCTCATAATTTGCTTGTTATCTGCGGGACTGACTAGCAGATAACTCCCCTTCAAGTTCTTTTTTTCGAATTTCCTCTAGTGGTAAGTGGGAAATAGTTAAATGTGGGAAGTAGTTAACTATATGGGGAATGCTTCTGCCTCCCCCCTTCCAGCTGCTGGTCTCTAATTGTCCTCAGGTTCCTCTTACTGTTGAGAAGTCGAACTTGAATGAGCCACACTCGTGGATTGAAGGGTTTAAAAGTTAAACAGACTTCACTAAACCTTCTGCTATTCTGATTTCTGGCCACTTTACTACTGCAAATTAGTTACTACTGGATGTGGAAGGAGACAAAGAAGAAATCTAAAGCCACCAGTTTTCTCTTAGCAGCAACTCTTCTGAAGAAGTTTAATGAGGGAATGGTTAAAGTGACATTAATTTTATTTCTCTATACTGATGTGTTTCCCATTAACATGCTTGTGAGACCCAAATGACAAGAAACAAACCACGTGTGAACAGAACATTCCAAGTAAAGGGAATAACAAGTGCAAAAGCCTTAAGGCAGGAATGAACTTAAGACACAGAAGGAAGGGCAATGTGATTGGAGTTTAATTAGGGGTAAGTGATAGATGATGAAGCTGGAACAATATATCACTATTTTGATTGAGTAGTAGAGATTAGCAACGTATATGAACATTGCTGTATAAATGTGGTCTCTGCTCACAAGATGTTTGTTTACAGATTAAGTAACAAGACAGTAATGCTTCGGAAATGCAAATTAGACTGTCACGTTCCTGCTTAAAATTCTGTAAGGGCTTGGCCTCACCCCTAGTTCTTGAACTGCTGGTCCTATCTTCCTCTCCAATTTCACCAGTTCCTACTTTTCCACAAGTAGCTTACTTTTGGAGTTCCTGGGTGGCGTAAATGATTAAGCACTGGACTACTAACCGAAAGGTTGGAAGTTTGAACCCACCCAGAGGTGCCTTGGAAGACAGGCCTGGCAGTCTGCTTCCCTGAGGTCACAGCCTTGAAAACTCTGTGGAGTGCAGTTCTACGCTCACACGAGGTCGCCATGAATCAGAATCGACTGGACGGCAGCTAACAACAACAGCTGACTTTAACTCTTGTCAATCTGAATGCATTCCAGGCATTCGTTTTCAGCTTCTGGTGGCACACGCCCTTATCTACTTCAGCTCCTTCCTCTCAGAAGCTTTCTGTAAACAATAATCTTTCTATATTTATCCCCTGCCACTTGCTACACTCCTCTTCTGTCATCCCATCACATATTTGTATACAGGCAGTCGCCGGGTTATGAATGTCCAACTTACGGAAAACTCATACTGAAGAACAGACTGCCCTAAAGCCGATTGTATTAAAAATTTGAGTTAATACAGTGGTTTGTAATAACAAATGCATGCGCTACTTTGTGACACTCAGGAAAACATTGCATAGTTTGAAAGTGTTTCACGTTTTATATGCATATAGAAAGGTCAAATATGTACTAAGACAAACATTTGACTGACTGGCGTTGAATAAGAACTATGTGTAACTGTGCTGACTTACCTACAAATTCAACTTAAAGACAGACTTAGGAACAGATCTTGTTTGTAACCTTGGGACTGCCTGTACTTCTGTCAGCATTTATCATGTTTTCTGATGATTATTTTGATTATCAGTCTCTCCCATTAGACTGAGCTTGCAGAGAGGAGAAGAATCGTGCTTATTTCACATCCACTGTGTTTAGACAGCACCTGGCACATAATAGTTGCTTTATAAATGTCGGAATGAAGAAGCAAATGAAAAATGAGTGACAGGTTGAAGAGGTAGATTCAACCCAGATTGTAGAAGACCAGAAGGAGCTTGAAATTCATTCCATAGGTCAGAGGTCTCTAAAATGGGTATGCAGGCTATCCATTGGGGTGTGGGGGACGGAACAGTTAGTACTTCAATTTATATTATCTTAAAAAAGGTACATAATACTTGGATTGGCACTGACATCGTCATTTGGGCCATGTGGTAAATGTTGTTAGTTGCAATCAAGTCGATTCCAACTCATGGCAACCTCATGTGTGCAGAGTAGAATTGCTTCATAGGGTTTTCAAGGCTGTGACTTTCAGAAGATTGCCAGGCCTGTCTTCCGAGGCGCCTCTGGGTTAAATAGTCACACATTATATATGGTACTTCAGGTATCTTGAGGAAAGAGTGGAAAGGTTGAGAAAGGCTTCTATCTTCAGAACATTGCAGCATGTTACGTTCATTAGGGGTGTGCTTTATCTGAAAGTAATAGAATCTTTGTAATTGTGAAGTGATAGAAAGAACTGTGGAAATCTTTTTTCATGCAGAAGTTCCTCAGTTATATCATGGTAAAGTTTTTAGAAGAGTTGGTGAAGGCTATGATGAATAATGCATTTTTAAAATTTGCTGAACTTTCCTGTGGCTATGAATACGAAGTAAGAGTTTTTTATTAGAAACGAATAAATACATAATGTGCCCCTTCATGGTCCATTACTTTTAAAAAAGCTCGTGCTATGAGATCATTTTGAAAATGTATGTTTGGTAATGTTTCCATCATTTTTTAAATTTTATACTGAAAATGATGAAAGTGTCCTATTAAAATTCCTGTTTCCTACATGAAAATAATTGGAAATAGAATTATCTTGTTGGGTGTTTTTTTTTCCTTGTTGTTTTGAAAAACCATTTGTTAAAATTATTAAAATGCCATATAGTTGTAAAAACAGCTGTTGACGTCACAGTAGATGAAAATTTTCTAGACATACTTAGAAATAATCTTTGTAACACTGGTGGATAGGATTGAAAGTAAAATATAGTAAATAAATGAAACCAACTCTGCAAATCTTCTCTTTGAATCTGCTGGTCTTTGTGAAGTGCAGGCAGTCTTCACTTTGCACAGTACCATATTAACTGAACTAATTCCACGCTTTACAGGTTTACAGTGACTGAAGTTAAGTCTGTTACCGTGGAACCGTGCAAAGTAAGGAATTAGTTCCAGGATGCATGCTGTCCTATCAACACAGTCTAGTGCAAACACGAGTATTGCCTGTATCTTTTTCAACTATGGCAGCCATTAAAATCAAACATTGAAATAAATTGAAACTAGAACCTTTGAATTGCCCTATCACAGTGTTAAATGAGATTTTAAAAAACAAGCATCTTTAATCACACGTTCTCATTAAATAAATATACAGGCATACCTCGTTTTATTACGCTTTATCGCACTTTGCAGATACTGCGTATTTTACAAATTGAAGGTTTGTGGCAACCCTGCATCAAGCAAGTCTATTGGTGCCATTTTTCCAACAGCATGTGCCCACTTTATGTCTCTATGCCACATTTTGGTAATTCTCACAATATTTCAGACTTTTTCATTATTATTATATTTGCTGTGGTGATCTGTGATCAGTGATCTTTGATGTTACTTTTGTAATTGTTTTGGGGAGCAACAAACTGTACCCGTGTCAGACGGCGAACTTAATTGATAAATGTTGTATGTGTCCTGACCGCTCCACCAACCAGCCATTCCCACAACTCTGTCACTATCCTCGGGTCTTCCTATTCCCTGAGACTCGACAGTATTCAAGTTAGGCCAATTAATAACCCTACAGTGGCCTCTAAGTGTTCAAGTGAAAGGTACAGTCGTATGTCTCTCACTTTAAATCAAAAGCTAGAAATGATTAAGCTTAGTGAGGAAGGCATGTTAAAAGCCGAGGTAGGCCAAATGCTAGGCCTCTGGCGCCAAACAGCCAAGTTGTGAATGCAAAGGAACAGTTCTTGAAGGAAATTAAAGGTGCTACTCCAGTGAATACACGAATGATAAGAAAGGGAAACAGCCTTATTGCTGATATGGAGAAAGTTTTAGTGATCTGGAGAGACGATCAAACCAGCCAGAATGTTCCCTTAAGCCAAAGTCTGATCCAGAGCAAGGGCCTAACTCTGCAGTTCTGTGAAGGCTGAGAGAGGTGAGGAAGCTGCAGAAGAAAAGTTTGAAACTACTAGAGGTTGGTTCATGAGGTTTAAGGAAAGAAGCCATCTCCATAACATAAGAAGCAGCAAGTGCTGACGTAGAAGCTGCAGCAAGTTATCCAGAAGGTCTAGCTAAGATCATTGTTGAAGATGGCTACACTAAGCAACAGATTTTCAGTATAGATGAAACAGCCTCCTATTGGAAGAAGATGCCGCCTAGGACTTTCATATCTAGAGAGGAGTCAATGCCTGGCTTCAAAAGACAGGCTGACTCTCTTGTCAGGGGCTAATGTAGCTGGTGACTTTAAGTTGAAGCTGATGCTCATTTACCATTCTGAAAATCCTAGGGCCCTTAAGAATTATGCTCAATCTACTCTGCCTCTGCTCTATAAATGGAACAACAAAACGTGGATGACAGCACATCTGTTTATAACATGGTTTACTGACTATTTTAAGCCCACTGTTGAGACCTACTGCTCAGAAAAAAAGATTCCTTTCAGAATATTACTGCTTATTGACAAGAGCTCTGATGGAGATGTACAAGGAGATTAATGTGGTTTTCATGCCTGCCAACACAACATCCATTCTGCAGCCCATGGATCAAGGAGTAATTTTGACTTTCAAGTCTTATTATCTAAGAGATAATGTTCTGTAAGGCTGTAGCTGCCATAGATGGTGACTCTGCTGATGGATGAGTAAAGTAAATTGAAAACCTTCTGGAAAGGAGTCAGTGTTCTAGAGGCCATTAAGAACATTTGTGATTCATGGGAGGAGGTCAAAATAGCAGCATTAACAGGAGTTTGGAAGAAGTTGATTCCAACCCTCATGGATAACTTTGAGAGGTTCAAGACTTCAGTGGAGGAAGTAACTGCAGATGTGGTAGAAATCACAAGAGAACTAAAATTACAAGTAGAGCCTGAAGATGTGACTGAATTGCTGCACTCTCATGATAAAACTTTAACGGATGAGGAGTTGTTTCTTATGGATGAGCAAAGAAAGTGATTTCTTGAGATGGGATCTACTCCTGGTGAAGATGCTGTGAACATTTTTGAAGTGCCAACAAAGGATTTAGAATATTATGTAAACTTAGTTGATAAAGCAGTCGTAGGGTTTGAGAGGATTGACTCCAGTTTTGAAAGAAGTTCTACTGTGGGTAAAATGCTATCAAACAGCATCGCATGCTACAGAGAAATCTTTCATGAAGGGTCAATTGATTCAGCAAACTTCATTGGTTGCCTTATTTTAAGAAATTGCCACAGCCACCCCAGCTTTCAGCAGCCACCACCCTGATCACTCAGCAGCCATCAACATTGAGGCAAGACCCTCTGCCAGCAAAAAGGTTATGACTAGCCAAAGGTGCAGATGGTTAGAATTTTTTAGCAATGAAGTATTTTTTAATTAAGGTATGTACATTGTTTTTTAGCCATAATGCTGTTGCACGCTTAATAGACTACGGTGTACTATAAACGTAACTTTCACATGCACTGGGAAACCAAAAAATTCATGTGACTTGCTTTATTGCGGTGGTCTGGAACTGAACCTGCAATATCTCCGAGGTATGGCTATATGTATACTGAGGAGGAGGGACCTGCTCAAAAACTTGTTACTAATGGGCACACAATCAAGAGTTGGAATACTACTACTATAGAGAGCCATTGGAAGTTTTTAATTATGGGAGTGACATGTAAAAAGCTAAGTTTCAGAATGATTAATCTGATGACAGTGTAAACTGCCACCAAATGGAGTAGGGATTCTATCCCAGTAGTCCAGGTAGGGGCCAAAACTAAGTTACTAGAGGTAGGAAAAGAAAAAGTAGAATGAATACCAAGTATTTCAAAGAGAAAATGATAGGACTTTGTGAGTTTGGGCAGTGGGGAATATATAAAATGGAATATATCGGGTTGACTAAAATTTGAGCTTGACTGAATGTTGGGATGTAGTACTGTTAAGTCAGAAAGAAGAGTCATCAGGTGCCGGAGTATAGTCATTGGATAAAAAGATGCATTTGCTTTTAAACATTGGGGTTTTTTTAAGACTGTGGGCTTAGAATTATTTCCTAAGCGTAACTATTAACTGATAAAACATGTTTGGCAGTATGGCAGAATAGTAAGAACATGGATTCTGGAGCCAGACGGGGTATGAATCCCGGCCCCGCCACTTGATAGGCAAGTTATTTGACCTCTCGGTGCCTTAGTTTCTCTATCTGTAAAGTGGGTGATAATAATAGAATTTACCCCATAGGGTGCTGTGGGGATGAAATGAATTAATATAAAGTGTTTAGAATGGTGCCAGGCACATGGTAAACTCTATATATGTATTTTTTAAGTAGGGTTTTGGGTGACAGTTCTTTTACTTTTGTATTCTTAATAAAGTGCTAGGCAGAGAACAAGGTCCCTAATAAAGGCTTATTGCAGAATAAACTGATTAGCTGGGGAAGACCACAGGAAATATTAAATATGAATTATTTTATATAGAGGAGTCATTCTTATTTCAGTTCCAAGAAACTACGATCCTACCTTACATCCTTTTGAGGTTCCACGAGAATATGTAAGAGCTTTAAATGCTACCAAACTGGAACGAGTATTTGCAAAACCATTCCTTGCTTCCCTGGATGGTCACCGAGATGGAGTCAATTGCTTGGCAAAACATCCAAAGAGCCTGGCTACTGTCCTTTCTGGGGCCTGTGATGGAGAGGCAAGTGTCACTCTAAATGTTGATATTTTAAAGTAGAAATTGGTATATTACAGATGTTTTTCCTTTAGTTTTTAGTTACTGTGGGTTTTACTTTGATTTCAGTCTCTCTCTATCCTGTTTTCCTTTAATCCTCAAGACTAAATTCTATTTGAAGTAGTAACTTCAGTAGTTCTTGACTAAACCTAAGAAATTATAAATGTAGTAGACTTGAGGCTCAATTTGATAGTAAATAAAATAGTAAATCGTGTATATAATAGAGGTATATAAGTGTGAGCTTTTTGTCACAGAGGGTGTTATTAACAATAATTTCCCACTCTGTTGATTTTGAAAAAAAAGCTTTGAAAGCTAGACTCAACAGAGTATTTGACAGATTGAATTTTCTGCTTGATACACTTATCCATATGCATTGCATTGTTTTAATCCAAAGGATTTTGTTTTTAGCTGTATAGAAGAGTGATTCATAGCCTTTTCAGTGATGAATTTATTTTTCTTGGAATGTAGTACTCTTGTGTCTGAACATTTTATATTTATAATTCCCTGAAATTTCCTGGTATGCTTTATCATAGGTTAGAATTTGGAACTTGACTAAACGAAAATGTATCCGTACAATACAAGCACATGAAGGTTTTGTACGAGGAATATGTACTCGCTTTTGTGGGACTTCTTTTTTTACTGTAAGTATGATGCTATTAAGTCATTAAAACTTTTCAACCTGTATAAGACTGATTATCTTTGGAGTTCATTTATGTGTTCCAAGGTTCTTTTGGAGCTTCACAATGCAAAGTAATTTATTAAAACTTTGAGAAGTCCTAGTTTTCATAATGTAATCCAGCCCTATAATTACATTTTGAATTACTTAGCATATTATTGAACTGGTCTATAGAACACTGAGAAATGATTAATGGGAGGTGAGGCTTGAAAGGTAGTTTGGCTTCTTCTGTAGGGTTTTCAGTGCTAGGATGAGGAATTTATACTTCATTTGGCAGAGAGTAAGGAATCACTGAAGGTTTTTTAAAAGGGGAATGAAAATCTAAGCTGTGCTTTCAGGTGATTAATTTGATAGTGAATGATCAGTTTGGAGATTGTTTGAATAGTTCGGGTAGGCAATAGTAAGATGCTGCACTAGAGAGTGGAAACAGAAGTAGTTGGGTTTAGAAACATTTTGGAGATTTGGCAGGCTTGTTAACTAAATGAGAGGTACCTAGGAAGATGGTGGTTCCTGTTACAGAAATAGAGAAGTCAGGAGTGTCAGCAAGTTCAGAGGAGAGTGGCAGTGGAAAGGATAAATTGTAATGAGTTGGACTGTCATTGGGTTCTTTAAGTGAGGCTGTCTCTCAGACCTTTATAGATACAGGTCTGGAGCTCAGGAGGGAGGTTAGAGCTGAATGTGACATCATCGATACAGAAGTGGTTTTGATTGAAGCCTTGATGTGCTATCATTGGGAGGAGGTAAGAAGGGGAAATGTAGAAATACAGAGATGTCAGGGAAATAGCCTTGGGGAATGTCTGCTTCTAGGAAATAGGAAAACTGGGAGAGCGTATGAATGAGCATAGTGTCCCCAGGAGTAAGGGATAATTAGTTGTGTGAACTAGTATAAAGGATGTTTAGGATGAAGATTGAGAAAAACATTTTAGGAATGTAGACATATAAAACATAGAAAGCTAAAGATTCTGTAATTCTACTCTTTAAATTCTAACACTGTTCCCAGAAGTTGTATATCTTTTTAAATTAATGCAGCAGTTCTTAAATTTTTTTGTTCTCAGGACCCTTTTACACTGTTAGAAATTACTGAGGACTTCAGAGGGCTTTACTTTATGTGGATTATATCTATTGATACTTAGCATGTTAGAAATTTAAACTGAGAAAATTTAAAATATTTATTTGTTAAATTCATTTTAAAAAGAAATCCATTACTTGATAACATAAATATTTTTATGAAATAAGTAAATTTTTAAAAACAAAAAATAGTTTGAAGAATGGGAATTATTTTACATTTTTGCTAATCTTTTTCATGTCTGGCTTAACAGAAGACAGCTGGATTCTCGTGTCTGCTTATCTATTCAATCTGCTACAGTATGTGGTTTGGTTGAAGTGTATGAAGAGACTCTGACCTCACACAGATAAACATAGTTAAAAAAGAAAGGGTGTTTTCATAACCTTTTCAGATAATTGCGAATATTCTTTAATACTACATCAAAACTTGACTGGGTTTACTTTTTAAAGGTTACAACTAACCTAAATCTAAAACTGTATCAATAAACTACATACACTGTTACATTAAAATCCTTTGAACTGTCTTGCACTTTGAATCTACCTTTTACCCCCACATAACTTTGTAACATCATACATTGATCATCTAGAAAACATTGGTTCACTTAAATAAACAGATATTCTGAATATTAACACACTTTATTGTATAATATTAAAAAAAAAAATCACATGTTAATATCGCCACTGACCTTATCAGAAGTCTTTAAGTGTTGGGAAGCTGTCAAACTCATGATGGTGGATACAGGTTTCTTAAAATTTTTATTTTTTACTTGAAAGCTTAAATTTTATCATTGGCAGCAAGTACTGTCAATTGTTTTCCTTGAAGTGACAGGATCACGTCTTCATTTTTGAGAAAATCTCTGACAGGTAGGTACTCAAGTCTAAATTACCTTAGTTTGTTGCCACTGCCTTTATTTGTGCTAAGGTGCCAGCCCTTTTACTTTTTCACTATCTGTGGAAATGTCAACACAGCAAAAAGGCAAATAATGTCTTTAGTAACGTGAAAATAGTTTTGACCTTGTGGACCACTGAAACGGTCCCCAAGTCTTCCAGGGGTCTGCAGATGACAGTTTGAAAACCACTGACTTAATCATTTCTAGAGTTTTGAGTCATGCATAAAAGGGCTTTATCCATTTCAAGATTATAAAATGTCTACTATCTAGTATTTTTAGGTTTTTTATTTCATTTTTTACCTTTAAAATTCTCTGAAATTTTATTTTCATGTAAGACATTAAATGGGGCTCAAACTTTTTAAATGACTAACCTGATACCACAATGCTACATCATTGTAATCTGTTTTCTTTTCTCCCTAATTTGAAATGCTGCCTTTATCACAATATGCTTTTTTTTTTTTTTTTGCCATATTTATGACTCAACTTTGTTCCTTCTCTTGTTCTTTTACTCTGTTGATACTATTTTATTGTTAACTTTATGCACTTTGTCACATGCCTTTACTATAGTGGGGTATAAATGCATTGATAAATGCGATTCTAAAAGAATATGTTACGTGTTATTTCTGTAACTGGAGTTGCTTATAATTTAATGTATGTAGTGGCAAGTATATAATTTATAACTGTTGTTCATCAGCATTATAATCATAATGAAACCAATATTTCCAGACTGGTGATGACAAAACTGTGAAACAGTGGAAAATGGACGGACCGGGCTATGGGGAAGAGGAAGAGCCATTGCATACAGTGTTAGGAAAGGTACAAAATGATTGATCCGTTACCTATTAAAATTCTTCTTTTACTTAAAATTATTTCATAATTATAATTTTCCCCAAAAAAATGTAAATAAGAAATGAGAGAGACTTTAGGCTGCAATAATTCACTTATTTTATGCTATATTTAATGCAACTAAAGTCCTTTGCAGCTAAAGAATTTGAAAGAATTTGCAGCCAAAGCTCTTTGGTGTTCATTATAGTAGGGTTTGACTTCTGTTTTTAGTTAGAGGATACAATGAAACATTTCCAATAGCAAGACCATGGGGGAAATTTATAAGGTCAAAGATCAGAAGAAAAAAAAAGTCTCAGTTTTTGTCTGATTTATATTATCATAGATCTTACACAAAGCCAGAAATTTCTTTCTTGGAAGAATCCATTAGACAATGAAGAAATGGAACACTGTGATGCATTTACATGGCTTACAAATTATTCTGCGAATCAGATAATATGATTTACTTACAGCTTAAGTATAATTCATAATAATTGGTATAACGAGTATAATTCATAATGTTTTACAATGTTATATGTTGATATTAAGCAAACAAAATACTAAAATTAGGTTTAATCTTCAAATGAAATATATGCGTTTAAAAAATCACTTTGTCATTTGAATATATGGTTAGAATACACTAAGCTTCTGCTTTTCGTATTTCCAAAAGTTCTAAGTATTCTAAACAGAGCATTGGGGTGTGAGATATGGGTATGTGATGGAGTTAAATTCACAGATGGTAACAAATTAGTTAGTAATTCCTAAAGCAAAATTGGTTTCATTCTTGTAAAATGCTTTTTCTCAAGAAGTTCCAAAAGCATTTTGAAATATTTAATCTTATCCCTGTCTCTGCAGTATTGAGGACTAATTTTTATTGTAGAATAGTTTTTAGGACTTGCCTTCACGAATAGAAAATAATTAGAAATCTGCAGATGGCGCTAACAGTTCTTAGAAGCTTGAAGTGTCAGCTAAATATTTCCCTTTCATTTACTTTGCAAACTTTTTTTCATATAGTACAAAGGTAAACTTTAATCTGGTCCCTAACAGATGAATCACACATTTCAAGTGAATAATACCAAATTTAGGAGATTTTTTTGCGTTTAACAATATTAGCATCCATTCCCCCAATTGTTTCCTTTCCCCAGATTCTAATCCAATTGTTGGTATCTGTGTTTCCATCCTGGGAACTGTACTTTATGTTTTAAATGTGGAACTAAGTTTTTTAGACGTTATTTTGCATTTCATTAGTTGCTTCCACAATTCTTCAGTACCCAATATTTAAATCACTTCAATGAAAGTGATTTAAAGGATTTGAAGGAGCCCTGGTGGCGCAGTGGTTAAGCGCTTGGCTGCTAACCGAAAGGTCAGCTGTTTGAACCCACCAGCCCTTCCGCAGGAGAAGGATATGGCAATCTGCTTCTGTAAAGATTTACAGCCTTGGAAACCCTATGAGGCAGTTCTACTCTGTCTTATAGGGTCGCTATGCGTCGGAATGGACTTGACAGCAGTGAGGTTTGGTTTTTGTTTTTCTTTCAATGAAATATATTGAAACTTAATTAAATATATCCCATATTAACTTTTTTTTTTTTAATTCTCAGAATATGCTTATACTACTGTTTTCCCCTTTAAGTAAAGGCTTCAAAGAAATTATTTGGTAAACGGATTTTCTCAAAAAAAAAAAAAAAAAGATTGTTTATCAATAATTGAAAATGTTATTTTGCAGATTTGCAGTAGTAACAGACAAACTCATCTATAATAATCTCTTTGCTTTTAAAGACAGTGTATACTGGAATTGATCATCACTGGAAAGAAGCTGTTTTTGCTACATGTGGACAGCAAGTGGACATTTGGGATGAACAAAGAACCAGTCCTATATGTTCAATGACCTGGGGATTTGACAGTATAAGTAGTGTTAAATTTAACCCAATTGAGGTACTCTTCCTTTTTAAAATATGTTCTTCTTATTGTTTCCTTGTTACTGGTTGATAATTTCAGCTCTGTTTAGGAAACTTGAGTACTCGATGCCAGAATCTTCAGAATTTTATTGGCGTTCTGGCATTTGGTTAGTTTCCAGATCGTAGCTAGCTTATGATACCTTAGGTCACATATTAACATGTTTGCCCACCATTTAGTCGCTGATATCCATATAAAGCCTCATTGGAGGAGGGGTGTGTACATTGGCTCATGGGGATAGAATCCAAGCCAGTACTGTATTGTTTTGCCTTTAGTTTTACTCATGCCTTCAACACTCATGTTCCACAGATTATAATTTTTCTTAATGCTATTGGAAGTCAGAAGGAGCACTGAGCATTGATTTCTCTAATTATTTGTAAGTGATAAGGCCACCAGTGCTTCATAATAATATGCACGATTATTTTTTACTGCATGATAATTAGATACAGTTATATTTTTTTGCTCAGAAGCCTAAATTGTGATTCCTAATTTCTCCTACGCCTAAGGCAAGAGTTGGAGATAGGCCACTATTTACTATCTATTCAGTTCCGACTTTAGAAGAGGAGGCTGCCCTGAAGGCTAAGCTAGCCTTTAAATTCCAGAGCTTTTCCTTGACTTTTTCTTCATAGAAAACAATAGGTGAACTCGTTGACCAGCAAGCTCAGTAGAGACACCTTTTCCAGGCAGTACAAAATCAGCTTATACATGCAGTGATGTTTCTATTCTGAGAATGGTGCTTTATGTGTTAAATGTGGAACTAAGTTCTTTAGAAATTGCATATATAAGCTGCTTCTAGGATTTATTAGAAGACTATCATGTTAGGTGGTACCTCCCTATAAGAGGGTATAAAGAGAAAATCCTGATACGTAAGTTTTACACTCTCAGAAGCCAAAGAAAGGTTAAGTCAAAGTAGCAGGGTATAAGAATTGTCTGTACGATGTATTGGAACATAAGGTGCTTCATTGTAATGTGAGCTTGGATTGGAGGTGTTGCTGAGAAATCAGAAGACATCCCGCTACTCCGAGTACGTACCTACATACAGTCCTTGGAGAGGCTTCAGGTCTAGAGCAGAGGCTGACAGACTGTGGTTCGTGAGCCAGATCTGGCTTGCTGCCTGTTCTTTACTGGAACACAGCCTGTTTGTTTACATATTGTCTGTAGCTATTTTTGTGTTACAGTGGCAGAGTTAAGTAAAGGAGATAGAGAGACCAGATGGCCCACAAAACCCAAAATACTTACTGTCTGGCCCTTTGCGGAAGTTTACTAATTTCTGGTCTGGAGTATCCATTTCTGTTATATCTTCCTCACTCTGTCTCCCTTCCCTGTGTTTCTTCTGGTTGTAGGAGTGAGGTATTGGTGTGAAGGGGCAAGTCAGCTTTGCAGAGCAGGGCCAAGGTGATACCGAGCAGGGGAAGGCTACGAACACAGACGATTTGTAGGAGCCATTTATGTCCTACGTGGTGCGGAGCAAAGCTGAAATTGTATTTTTTAAAAGTGTGACCCAAATTCAAGGTGATGGTGTTATTATTTAAAAAAAAAAAAAAACCCAGAAGAAAGAGACAAGTATTGGTTCCTACTTCTCTAAGGGACAAAGGAGCCCTGGTGCAGTGGTTAAAGCACTTAGCTGCTAGCCAGAAGATTGGTGGTTTGAACCCAGCAGCCACTCCACAGGCGAAAGATGTGGCAGTCTGGTTCTGTAAAGATTTAAGTTTGGAAACCCTGTGGGGCAGTTTCACTCTGTTCCATAAGGTTGCTGTGAGTCAGAATCAACTCGACAGCAGTGGGATTTTGGTTCTCTAAGGGACATAAAAGATCTTTTGCTTCTCTGTTTTGGTGAGTAGTTGTGTCAGAAGAGCTGATGTCCAATTCTAAAATTATAATTTATTAGTGATTACCTAGTGACCATGTTGTTCAGACTTGGCAGTATAACAACCTATTTGTACAGCTGTGTTTTTTTATTAACCGTATGAACTGACTTAGATGAAAACAAATGGTGTGCATGTCTCTTATCGTATGTCAAACATGACGAAAAGGGCATGTTCCTGTGAATAAACAGTATATTTGTGTCTTCTAATCATTAATAATTAATTTTCTGTTAAAATATTGAGGCCTAGAATACTGGGAAGCCAAAAGTTAATGCTGAGCATCGCCACGTTTTACAGCGTGAAAATCAGCTTTTAGTCTAGGTAGAATTTTTTTGCTTTGCTTAGATCCGAGTCTTTGTTTTTAGAAATGGAACCTGGTCAGACTATGAGGTGACATAATGTGAAGCCAAGAGGAGCCACTAACTAGAGGAAAGTCTCAGGGAGTGACTGAAAAAGGCAGGTTTGGGATAGGACTGAGGGGAGGTCATGATATAGCATTAACTTTATGATGCTTTATTTAAACTGTGTACGAACATGTACCATAGTAGGAGTTAGCTGCCCATATCACTGTCTTGCAGATAACTCTCTTTGTTCCTCCTACACTTGCATTAGGAGGTAATAGTAGGCAGAAGCAAGAGTTGTGAGGGTAGGAGCTGTGAGTGAGGAGCAATGGCGCTACAGAGGGTGGGGTTCGGGCTTCACTGGCAGGTAGAGGGCTTATTTCCACATAATACCCACCAAGGTTGTCTAAGTGTCTTGTACATTTATAACTGACATACAAATAAATATCTGAAACATTTTGGAGTGACTGGACAAAGGGCAGGTCTAATTTATTACAGACAGTTAACATGAGGAACTGACTATTGTAATTAAAGCAGTAAATTTATGTAATTAGGAAATATTGTCATAAAATAAACTTTTAAATGAGACTACCTAATGGTGCCCAGGTTGCAGTAAAATTGGCATACTCCCACATGGTGGTGTATATTGGTACAACTCTGTAGAAAACAATTAGCCTTAAGTATCAAAAGCCATAAAAATGTCTTGATTGAACAATGCCACTCCTGAAATTTTATCCTAAGAAAATAATTCACATGAAGAAGAGCTAAATGTATGAAAATGTTTATTGAAGTGTTATTTATAATAGTGAAAAACAGAAAACAAGTAAAATATGTTCTTTTATAACTTAGAACATAGTATTATCTGTACACTATCATCACAGGCATCTAAGATTCAAGAATGGGAATTTAACAATGAAAATACTTACGGTTCTGAGGTTATGGGTGATTTATTACTCCTCCTTAAAGTGGACTTTAATGTTATAACTTTGTGTTTTAACATAAACATGAAGAGGAATTAAATTGTTCACTGAATGGGAAGGGTTTGTTGCCAAGCTTGGCCTTTAACTAGTGATTGTTACATTTATTTTTAGACATTTCTCTTGGGAAGTTGTGCTTCTGACAGGAATATAGTACTATATGATATGAGGCAAGCTACCCCTCTGAAAAAGGTAAGTTTCAGTTTTGTTTTCTGCTTCATATAGTTGTTAATGCATTCATCTATAAATCAGAGTGACTGAAAATATGGAGCAGATGGTTTTTCAGAATTAAATTTTTTTTTCAGAGATGGTCTTATGAACCCACAGTGATGACAGTGGCATTCTGTCAGCCTCCATTGCTTTCTAAAGGCTCTTAAATTTCTACTAGATACTGTGTCCTTGTCTTCTTTGTGTCTTCGGTAGTAAATATTAGTCATCTAGTTTAGTACTAATTGAATTGAAAGTTTTTAAATTAAAAGTATTTCCTCACATTAGCTAGCGGTATAGTAATACTTCAGGCCCCATGATTATCATATGACACGTACTGTATTTTATTCCAGAAAGTTTTATAACTAATTCAGATAATCAGTTTTATTTGTTTAGTTACATGCTGATGGATACTAGTTTGACATTTCGTTTAGACAAGTGCTATCCTGTTCAAGGTGACAGACTTCCCAACAGTTGTTAGGTTGTTCCAGGACTTAGGTCTGTCAAAGGTAATACAACTTGAAGCTGACTCAAGAGGAAGGAAAATACTGTCAGTAAAGAGAGGAGTGCCATTATAAGTAAAAGTGCATGAAGTCCTGATTTCAGGTACTAGAATTGTGAGGGCACAGGGAGGGCTAGACATCATTTGTGTGCCATGAGCCCATTTTCGTAGTTCTCATGTAAAATAAGAGCTTTTAATACTTGTTTTTCTTGTTCCTAAATCATTTTCATAAAATGTATTATTTTAGAAATATTAGAAGTAGGCTATACTCATTGAAGTTTGAGACTGATAAATCAGTTAAGAGCTCAGGCTGCTAACCAAGAGGTTGGCAGTTCACACCCACCAGCAGCTGTTTGGAAACCCTATGGGGCAGTACTACGTTGTCCTACCGGGTTGCTATGAGTCAGAGTAGACTTGACAGCAGCAAGTTTTTTTTTCCCCCAAAAAAATACTGCTTTAATCATTTCACTCATTCGTGTGATATAGTAAGAATATCGTACATGAGCTTTGGTGTTAGACTTTAAGCAGGTAACATAATCTGTTTCTCTTGTAAAAATGGTGATATTAATAATTAACCTTGCAGCACATTGGTGAGAATAAAACATGATGCAGTCGGTCTTCATTATTCATGGATTTCATATTTGTGGATTTGCCTAGTCACTAAAGTTTACGTATAACGTCCAAATCAATACTCGTTTTCACAGTTGTTTGCAGATATACATAGAACAGTGAAATATTTGAGTCACCCAACACACGTTCTCAGCTAAGATAGAACAAGGTGACTTCTGCCTTCTTGTTTCAGCTTTCATACTGTAAACAAATGTCCTTTTCATAATGTAGTACCATGTTTTTCACATTCTTGTACTTCTTGGGGGGATGATTTTGCTGCTTAAAATGGTCCCTACATGTGCTGAAGTGCTGTCTTAGTGTTCCTAAGCTCAAGAAGACTGTGATGTGCTTCATGGAGAAAACACGTGTGTTAGATAATATTCATTCAAGGTGTCTTTAAACAGAAATGCATAAAACAAACTTACATATTAATCGGTTGATGAAAGTGTTGTGACCAGAGGCTTGCAGGAACCTAACCCTTAATTTCCCCTAAGAGCAATAGTTCAGTGTTTGCTAATCAGTTTCATGGCAACTTTGTAGAACATAGCTACTGCAAGTAATAACAATCGACTGCATTTAAAGCATTTAGCAGAGAGCTGACAAGAAGTACTAGTTTAACAAATAGTAGTTTCTCCCTGCCCCTCCCTGTCTCAGTTTCTAGTGGTGTTCCATTACTTTTAGGTTGAAGAAAACTGTCCCCTAACTTTCAAGACCCTCCAAAATGTGGTCCCAGTTTACAATCCATTTATTCGTTTCAGTTAGTAAGGCAACATTTAATTAGGGTTTGTTACATACAGGCCAGCTTGATATAGAGATTATTAGACATTGCTATTTTCTGTCATTTTCCTGTTCTATCTACTACACTATCAATGTTTCTTTTATCTTTCCCCTATTAAGTGCTGTATCTTAGGAGAAGCTAGACATTTAGAAAACGTGAGAGGGGAATTTTGGAGGCTGCTATTGGCGTGTAGTGGGCAGGTACCTGAGAGACTAAACATCCTACAGTGGACAGCTGCACAAAAACAAAAGATTGTCTTACCCAAAATGCCAGTAGTGCTCCTGTTGAGAAACATGATAATATACTGGTCTTTCACAGGTCAGCTCGAATCATGCTTGCCTTTTGAAACCTTCTCCGCTGTAACCCTAAGCTCACACCATTAATTTTGACCCTAATTTGATAGGTAATCATTTACTGCTTTATTGTTTGTGTTTTAACTTTTCTAATGTATGTCTCATTTTCTGACTAAACTGAGTTATTTGAGATCAAGGGACTATGTAGTAAGCATTTTTACATTTTTCATTATTTACCACTTTGCCTGTGTGTATATTCAGGAAACAATTGTTGATTGATTTTTTTTTTCTTTTCTCCTTTACCAAGGTGAGTGCTATACACATAGTAGATGTTTACTAAACATTTGCTTAAATCAGTGAAAAAAGAAGCAAAGGAAGTAAAGTAGGAAATATATCCATTTTAGAAATAATTAGTTTCATAGTAATGGGTTAGTATGTTTCCTTTCTCAGGTTATTTTAGATATGAGAACAAATACAATCTGTTGGAACCCTATGGAAGCTTTCATTTTTACTGCAGCAAATGAAGATTACAAGTAAGTTTTCCTGTTTTAAAATTTTATTTATTTGTATCAGGAATGGGTCACTTGTGTATGTCTTACTAATGAAATATGTGTCACTGGGTGGCATACTTTCATCTGTACGTTAAAAGCTCATTTGTTTTGTTAAAAATACTATTTCCCAAATTGGAGAAGAGCTTCTTACACAAGTACTCTCAGCTTTCAGAGTACTAAATTTGGTCTGTTGCCTATTTTTGTAAATAAAGTTTTATTGTAATACAGCCATGCTTGTTTATGTATTGAACACGATTGCCTTTGCGCTACAGTGGCAAAGTTGAGTAGTTCCAACAGCAGCCATAAAAAACCTTTGCCTTCAAGTCCATTCTGATTCATAGCAACCCAATAGGACAGAGTAGAACTGTCCCATAGGGTTTCCAAAGAGCAGCTGGTGCATTCAAACTGCTGACCTTTTGCTTAGCAGCTGAGCTCTTAATCACTGTGCCACCAGGGCTCCAACAGTGACCATATGACTCTCAAAGCCAAAAATGTTTACTGTCTGGCCCTTTAGAGAAGAAGTTAGCCGATCCCTGATGTAGACAATATAAATAATGACTGAACCATAAATGTTTTGATGGAAACTGAAAATACCTGCCTCCAAAATTTGTAGTCCATCGGGTATCTGATACTCACGTAGTTACGTTATCAGCTATTACTATTAACTTCAGTTCGACAAAAGGAAAATTATAGTTTAAATGTTTAGTTTAATATTTGCAGATATGTTATTCTGTGGTATCATGTAATGTCAACTTAGCAGCCTTATATTCTTGACCTAAGTGGAATTTTATGATTCCTCATATATAACTTGCTGAAACATTTCACATTGGTTATATTATTCTTCTAGTATCCTTGTAAGTTGGGTAGACAAGAATGTTATCATCTTTTTAAAGATTAGGGTATTGAAGCAGGGTGGATAATCTCGAAGTGAGGGAAAAAGTATCTTACCTTTTTTTATGCAAAGCATTTATTGTAGTACTGTATATATGGTAGATTCTTAATGCATGGTTTTTTGAGAAGGTGAAAGTTTATTGATGGATTGAACTTTAGATCTTCTGTTTTTATGTTCTATTTTCTTTCTATATCATATAGATCTGAAAGAATACATAATAGGAGTATTCCCTCATAGATGGAATTTATTACATGATGTTTCAGTGGTACCAGTTAGGAGTATCTATTATGACTATGGTTCTGTACTAAAAAGAAGTTCAGTTGAACTCTACACCAGACCAAATAAATTGAAGCTGTTTTAGGCTTTATTGACACTTTGAGATTAAATAACATTGTTCCAGTTAAAGGCAATAAAAGAATGTCCTACCAGCCAATCTTACTAACGTTTCTAAAGTATGTTCTAAGGAGCCCTTGTGGCGCAGTGGTTAAGCGCTTGGCTGCTAAGCGAAAGGTCGACTGTTTGAACCCACCAGCCACTCTGCGGGAGACAGATGGAGCAGTCTGCTTCTGTAATGATTGTTGTTGTTAGGTCCTGTCTAGTCAGTTCCAACTCATAGTGACCCTATGTACAGCCGAATGAAGCACTGCTGGTCTTGCACCATCATCACAGTCATTGCTATGTTTGAGCCCATTGTTGCAGCCACTGTGTCATTCCATTTTGTTGAGAGCTTTCCTCTTTTTCGCTGACCTTTACCAAACATGATGTCCTTCTCCAGGGACTGGTACCTCCTGATAACATATCCAAAGTACATGAGACGAAGTCTCGCCATCCTTGCTTCTAAAGAGCATTCTGGCTGTACTTTTTCCAAGATAGATTTGTTCATTTTTCTGGCAGTCCATAGTATATTCAGTATGCTTCACCAACACTATAATTGAAAGGATCAGTTTTTCTCTAGGCTTCCTCATTCATTGTTCAGCTTTCACATGCATATGAGGCAGTTGAAAATCTGCCCCTTATGGGTCGCTATGAGTTGAAATCAACTCCATGGCAACGTTTTGTTTGTTTGTTTGTTTGTTTTTTAAGTATGTTCTAGTTAGCTATTGTAGCAAGTTGTCTTTCTTGCAGAGTATCCCTGGAATTTCTTGTTTCTTGCCTTGGTAAGAATTACATATGACACCTGAAATAAAGAGTATATTCCTTGTAAGAACTGACTGTTAGAGTACCGCATTTACTCTTACTTGAAAGCAACTTGCTGTAGTCTCTTTTTTTTGTGTTTATAAATATTTTCTTCTTTTATTTGCCCTTTAAATATACTAATTATTCTGAACTAGAAACTCAAGTTCAAGTCTAGGTCCAACCAGTAACTACTATAGAAAGTTGGATAAATCATTTAAACTCTCTATGTCATAGTTTCAATATCTGAGATAAGAGGGTTGGAATGAATGATTACTAAAGAATGCTATAACTCAAAACTTCTGTTTGTTTACAAAATTTTCCCCCAAATGGATAGATTTAGTTGGAATTTGAATAAATTATTTTCCTTTTTCCTATGTAGAAATAAAGCAGAATTTAGTAAAAAAACAGAATTTTCTTTTTTTTTTTAAAAAAAAAAAGAACACCTTGGCTGAAAACGATTCCTCCAGACGGGGAATATAAAGCAGTTGTCCGCTCAGAAGTTTAACTTCAGAAATCAGTGTGACCTTGGATGACAATCCTGTAGTGTGTTGGAAGATTAAGAAGGAAAATAATGATTTGTCTTTTGATGAGAATTCCATGGCAATTGGGATATTTTCTCATTAACATCAATGACTTTTTGTACTAATTGTGTTAAAAATTGTTCTTCCTGAGGTGTTGGGTTTTTTAAACATTTTATTTTGAAATAATTTTTGGTTTACTGAAAAGTTGCAAAAATAGTACCTGTAATGTTACTTCCCCTAATGTTAACACTTTATATAACCAGAGTACAATTAGCAAAACCAAGAAATTAACATTGGTACAATACTGTTAACTACAGATTTTATTCTCTCACTAATTTTCCACTAATGTTCTTTTTTGTTCTAGAATCCCACACAGGATTCCATGTTGCGTTTAATTGTCTTATCTCCTTAGTCTGCCCAGTCTGTGACTTCTTCATTGTTTTCCTTGTCTTTCATAACCTTGGTACTTTTGAAGAGGACTCGTCAGTTATTTTGTAGAGTGCCCTTAATTTGGGTTTAACTGATAGTTCCTCATGATTACATTGAGATTATGCGTTTTTGGCAAGAATACCACAGAAGTGATGTGCCCTTCTCAGTGCATCATATCAGGGGATACATTATGTTAGTATGCCTTAATACTAGTGATGTTAACCTTGAACATTGATCAATATGGTGTCTGCCGGATTTCTCTACTGTAAATTTACTATTTTTTCCCTTTGTAATTAATACATATCTTTGGGTAGATACTTTGCAGCTATGTAGATACCCTGTTTCTCCTCAAACTTTCACTCGCTAATCTTACATCTTGAAGTCTTTTGATATTAGGAACGTAGTCACAATAATCCTGTATTACTATTGTCCTTTGTCCATGTTGACTCATCTGGGGCCCTATTCTTCTGGCTGGTGATTAAGAATTTTTAAATCTTGAAAGTCTTCAAATTGTTATTTTACCAATTGTACACAAGTGTAGTTTTCTAATATGGGTACACCCTTTGAAAATCCTTGCTTACTCTTGTATGTCACTGATAGGAGTGTAAATTAGTGCAGCTTTGTTGGGTAGTAATTTGGCAACTTGAATCAAGCCTTAAATAATGCTCATGCCTTTGAACCTAATAATCCTATAAATAATCCTTTTGGGAATCTTTCCAGATTTAATTGAGTCTGTCCTAGTTAATTAAAGATTGTCAACAATTTAAATGTTGGTATTTCATTGAAGCATTGTTTGTAATAGTTATAATAAATGAACAGTTGGAAACTATATCAAAAATAGAGAAATACATTATTTTAATTCATATATAAATATGAAACCATTAAAATCTTTTCAAAGATTATTCAATGATATGTCTAAATGTTCAATAGCATGGTGAAAAAGGTTAGAAATAATTACACTACACTAAGTTCCTCTGTGTGGTGGAATTAAAGATAATTTTTGTATTCTTTGCACTCGTAAAATTTCCACATTTTCTACAATGAGATTTATAAGGAAGAAAGTTGTGTGTGTGTGTGTAACCTTAAAGAATAATCAAAACTTGATATTTTTCCCTGTTCTTCATCTACCCTTTTAAAGAATTGAGCTGTTATATGGATATACGTTATTTAGCTAATGGGTCTTTATTTTCACTAGTGTCTCTTATTACTGCATATCTTATTCCTAGAAATTTGTATCAAATGTTTAAAAAATTCGTTTACAGCTTATATACTTTCGACATGCGTGCACTTGACACTCCTGTGATGGTACATATGGATCATGTATCTGCAGTGCTTGATGTGGATTACTCTCCCACTGGGAAAGAGTTTGTGTCTGCTAGTTTTGATAAATCTATTCGCATCTTTCCTGTGGACAAAAGTCGAAGCAGGTACGTGACTACCAATAAACTCTTTATTTTGCTTTGATTTTTCTTTTTCTTGATCATCGTTGGAGCACTGGTGGCACAGTGGTTAAGGTGTTCTGCTGCTAAGCGAGAGGTCAGCGGGTCAAATCTACAGCGGCTCCACTGGAGAAAGACGTAACAGTCTGCTTCCTACAGATTTATGCCTCAGAAACCCTATGGGGCAGTTCTACCCTCTCCTGTAGGGTTGCTATGAGTTGGAATCAACTCGACGGCAGTGGATTTGATCATCATTTATATTTTCTGAGAGATTGACTGGTTTTGTGTATATGATGTACTCATTCCCAGGTATGATCACTTGGAGTACTGATACCACTGGATCATCAATGGGCAAGTGCCAGCCTACCATGCAATTTCTTTCATTGAACAAAATATTATGTAATTTTCCTCCTTAAAATTTGCACTGGTAGCACCTCACTTGTCTCACACTAGTTCCAGCCCTGTGTTCTAGTACCAAAAGATCTTTCCAACAGTGCCTTCTTCTGAGAGTCAGGCAACTCATCCATCTTTTTGGTGATAACCAATATGCTTATCTCATTCTTTGGTGGTTTTCCAGTCTAATTTGAGGAAGCCATATTGATTCCTAAACCTTCTTGTACCATCATTGATTGCCAGCGAACAGTTGTCATCATCACTTTTTATCACATTACTGAGGTGTTTGCCTTTGCTTAAATCAAAAGCATCCAGACTGGAGTGCTCTGATGACTTTGGTCTTCATTATATCATCTCTAATATAGAGCTCCTGGTGTTGGATAGCTTTGGTTCCTCATAGCTGTTGGCTTCCTTTGCAACTAGATATTCTCCAAGCTGTAATGAATGGTTTGTTTGGACAATTCAGTCAGACCCAAGGCAAGACCAATTTGTTTGACTCATCTCACATTTATGGAAGATGTTGAGAATCGAGAATATGGCCTTTCATCATTTTTTTCTCACCAAAAACCTCCCAAGGTAGTAGGGCAGTATTTTCTGCATGATACCATATACAGACACAAAGAATGGGAAAAGAACAAAGAAAGAGTAAGAGAAATGGGGATGTATAGGCATCTGTGAGTAGCCCTGGTGATGTAGTGGGTAAGCGCTCAGCTGCTAACCGAAAGGTCACTGATTTGAAGCAACCAGCCACCCCATGGGAGAAAGATGTGGCAGTCTCTTCCATAATGATTTCAGCCTTGAAAACCCTATGGGGCGGTTCTACTCGGTGCTGTAGGGTAGCTTTGTGTCGGAATCGACTCAATGGCAACGGGTTTGGTTTGGGTTTTGGTATAGGCATCTATGATCCCAAGGGCCTGGCAGCTGAGTTCAGACTGAATTATTCCACAGTCAGTGTAGACAACTAAATGCAAGTCTAGGTAGCAATCTCAAGTTATTCCAAAATTGTATGAAGTAAGGAGTCCTTAACACCCCAGTACCAGCGAATTGTCTCCTGGTGTCATTTGCAGGTTTTATCATCACGAATGTGTTATATCCTGTTAGGTTTAGATATGAGTAGTATTCCCTCTGACCTTTGCCTTCACCTGCTTGAAAGCTAGTTCTAGTTCATTTCTGTAGTCAACTGTAGTTTCCTGCCATGGCAAGTGTCAAGTAATTCATGCTTAGGCAGTGCTTCCAGATAATCAGTATTTTAAAAATACTTGCCTTTGAAAGACGTTAAAAAAGTTAAAAAGTTTAATTTTAAAGTAAATTTTGAGTAGATTTTTAAAAATACTACAGTTAAATACTTGAAAGTAGTCTTCTATCACCCAGTGAACTAAGCAAACAAGTAAATCAGTAACATTTGTGTGGAGTAATTAGTTTATTTTGACTATATATATGAAAATTTTAAGTTTTTAAAATGATTTATCTTCTAATACATACTATAACTTTTAGTGAGCATTTAGACCTCCTGTATGTGCAAGCATAAACATATTTAGAGGTTAAAAACGCTGCACAGTTTACCATTAAGGAGGATTCTAAGTTGCCTAAGTGACTAACCATTGAATTTGACTAGCTTAATGCTTGTGAACAGGTTATTTGTAATGATTGTCGAAGCCTGACTGAATTTCCTAACATGTAAACTCATTATGTTGCTTTGGATAAAAGGACCTCTTAAACAGGTAGAGACAGTAAGACATGAGTCTTGTAAAAGCAGAACATTGGGGAGGAGAGGAAAAAGCAATCTCTCATCTAGTTTTCATTTTAATAGGGTGTTTTTTCTAACCATTCCCCCTTTTTAAAAGTATATTTCTTGTGGTTTATCTACATATTTATGTATTCATGAGCTCAAAATATTTAGAAACAGCATAAAAGACTAGCTTTGTGAGTGTACGTTTAGTAGCTTTTAGCAATTCTATTTACAGATACAAGTATTTTGATTTGGTCATCATGTATGTTTTCTTTTTACTGTGCATAGCTTATTGAGCTTGTTTATTTTCTCTTGTGGGTCTGCATTTTGAATCATTTAATCTAGATATGGAAATTTTATTTCTCCAGACTTCTCATCTTTTTACTTTTTCTGACCTTGTCACTTATTTGCTTTTTAATGCTCTTCTTAACACTTCCCAATATAGTATCTTCTGTGAATTCACTTAGCATGTTTCACAACCTTTCCAAATAGGTATGCTATTTGACATTACCGTTTATTAAATGATTCTTAACTCACCAGATAGTTCTGTAGCCCTCCCCTTCTTTTCACACATGTAAATCATCACCTTTCACTTCAATTAATTAAGCTTTTTAAACAACTTGACCAAAATAGAAATCATACATTAGGATCAACAAATCCGGATGTGGTCTTTGAAGGCCATTGAATTTATTTTATTTTCCAGTAAAATGAAAGTATGGTTGCTAACCTGAATTGATTTTGAGAGTGCTTAATAGGAACAAGCCATTTCTTATTGCAAAGTTATTTTGTTACTTATTGCTTTGTTGTTGTTGGGTGCTATGGAGTTGATTTTTGACTCATAGTGATTCCATGTGATAGAGTAGAACTGCCCCATGGGGTTTTCTAGGCTGTAATCTTTATGGAAACAGATCGCCAGGTCTTTCTCCCTCAGAGCTGCAGCGTGGGTTTGAACTGCCACCCTTTCAGTTAGCAGCCAAGTGCTTAACCACTGCACCACCAGGTTCTCATTATATTTTACTTGCGTTATATGTCTTCAGTTATTTTGTGAACATTTTTCCATTTGATTTTGCTTGGTTTGTATTTATTTATCTCATAGAACTATAAGTTCTCTGAGGGAGGAATTTTTCTTGTTGTTCCCCAGCACTTAGTATAGAGTATTGTTAGTTGGGCTTGATAAAGATACATTAAAATGAATATGAATTTCCCTGTTATACTCCCTCAGAACTCAGGTGGTATCCTGATCATTGACAAGCGGTGGTTAGTTGTAGAAAATCAGTACCAAAATTAAGGGTTTTAACTTAATGCCTCTTCAATAGGGAAGTATATCACACAAAGCGAATGCAACATGTTATCTGTGTAAAATGGACTTCTGACAGCAAGTACATTATGTGTGGATCTGATGAAATGAACATTCGTTTGTGGAAAGCTAATGCTTCTGAAAAATTGGGTGTGGTAAGAGACCTCATCTTTCATTGTTACAAAGCTGCTTTTCAGTTTTATTGGTTATCGTTATTTTGTGAAGAGAATTTATTTGAAGTACTTTAGATATTTTGATCAGATGGACATAACTGTGATAAATAAGTTAGCAATGAAACAGACAAGGCTGTATTGAGTTGTTTTTTTTTTTTTCGCATGTCAAAGGCACTTACAGAGTGCCTTTGTTAATTCAGATGTTTGATAATATTTGAGCTTTCTTGATTGTGCTTTTCTTGAGGTAGGGAGAGAAGATGTAGGGACTAGAAGCTTCAGAACTTAGAAGAGTCTATATTTCTTCTGTTAGATGAATAGTAATCACACAGATCAAAGGCTGCAAGTCCCTGTGAGGCCTTTTAATATCAGACGCAGTGAAACACTTAACTAAAAAAAAAAATTCAGAAAGCTTCTCACTTCAAAAAGATTCAATGAAAATATAACACGTATTATCATTGGTTAGCTACCTCTGGCGATGGGGCTTATGGTTGATTTTTGTTTCGTTCTTGATGTTTTTCTAAATGTCCCATGTTTTCTAGACGAAACATACAGAGCCTTTATATCAGAAAAAAATAATTATATTTAAGAAAGAAAGGTTAAGCGTGAGTTATTTCCTGCTTAGCCCCAGTAGGAAAATCAGGATATAATAAACCGTATTTAGAGACAGTTCTATTTTAGTTCAATGATCGGTAGATACTGCAGTATGCAGGTTTGAATTCATTGTTAAATATTTCTCTAAATCATATCTTTCTTATTATTTGTCAAACAAAGGCCAGGTATTATGGAAATGATCTCTTTTTCTTTTCTGTTTGGGTCATTATTTTTATAGAAAAAAAAATTGAGTCAGTCATTTAGGTGCTTGATCTATGTTATTTATGCCTAAGGAAAGTCTAACTCACTGACCACATAGTGACCGCATAGTTCTATTCCCTTGGCACTGCTGTTTTTCACTTGGTGGCATCTATCTGAATTGTTGGCATGGTGTCTAAGAGGAAGTTCAGTACTTGCAGAGCTGTTATTGCTAACATAAGCTTGTTAAGGCAGAATTGCGTTGGCAATTTGAGTTGCATGTTATAAAGGTTTAGTTTTTTTTCTTTTTTTCCGTTTGGGAAAGGATGCTCCCTTGCTTTGTTACACTAAAGTAAAACAAAGAACACACCATTCATTAAAATACCAAAATGCATTTTTTCAGCTTACATCACGAGAAAAAGCAGCCAAGGATTATAATCAGAAATTGAAGGAGAAATTTCAGCATCATCCTCAGATAAAACGTATATCTCGTCACCGACATCTACCAAAATCTATCTACAGCCAGATTCAGGAGCAGCGCATCATGAAAGAAGCTCGTCGACGAAAGTATGTTTTGGGGCATTTGACTCTGTTTCATTTGTTGTTGTTGGTTGCCGTGGAACCAGCTACAACTTATGGTAGCCCCATGTATGTAGAACTGTTCTGTAGGGTTTTCAAGGCTGTGACCTTTTGGAAGCAGATTGCCAGGACTGTCTTCTTAGACGCCTCTGGGTGCGTTCAAATCGCCAGCCTTTTGGCTGGTAGTCAGCCACTTAACCATTTGCGCCACCCAGGGGCTGCTTTCTGTGTCAGTACCCTTTTCTAACTTCCTTTTATCTCACCAAAAACAAACCAGAAACTGCCTTTTAAGGGAGTAGTTTATGTGAGTTGTACGTTAGAGATGTTTCTGAAGATGTCTCTGGGCTTTTTTTCTTTTCCTTTTCCTGATAAAGAGGAAAGCAGTGATCATCTGAGAGTGTGAAAATGTGCATTACTCATTCTTGAGAATATGTTTAAAGGATAAACAATGAAAATGAATTATGTCAAAATAAGAACATACTTCTTTACTGTAACACTATTGTAAATAGGTAATGTTTAAAATGTATTTCTAATATAGCTGGAATTAAGAGGTGTATTTTCCAAGTTAAAGAATGCAAAGAACCTTTATATAGAATTCTTAAATAAGAGTTTTTCTAATATGCTTTATCATAACGTTTGATATTTAACATCTTGTATCTAAAGCAGAGCTTCCTCCACATCCCACTGTTTTCCCTGTGGAATATTCTTCTCTTTGGAATCTGTGAATTCATACAAAGTATATAGAAATTCTAAGAGAGCTTATGTTTTTTAAAAATTAAATTATACAAGTGACTTTTCGTTGTTAAAACTTTAATTTTTTTTAATCATACTTTAGGTGAACGTTTACAGAACAAATAGTTTCTCATTGGACAGTACACATATTGTTTTATGACATTGGTTTACAAGTGACTTTTTTGTCGGCTTTGAGGTAGCTGTTGGGTTCAAGTCATTTTAAAATATTTTAATGACTGTAGCAGGTTTTAAAATTTAGTAAAGGACACTGAACACTGATATATAATGGGATAGAAGCAATTATAATAAAAGTTAATTTTTACCTACTTTTTACCTATTCTCATTATGAAAAGTCTTTTTCAGTAAGTGGTTTTCCAGGGAAGGAAAATGCTTTACTATTTTTCTGAGAAAGTTCTCTTTGGTTAAGATGATTTCTTATGAACTTGCTTATATTTTGTTTCTTTCTAGGGAAGTGAATCGCCGTAAACATAGCAAGCCTGGATCTGTACCAATTGTATCAGAGAAGAAGAAACACATAGTGGCAGTTGTGAAATAATGTTCGGTACTCCTGCCAATCTTGATATATAATTATCTGTTATATTTTGATTTGTGAACTCTACAGATACAAGTACTCACTCCAGTTCAATAACAAACATTTATTTGTTGTAGAGCTGTATTAGTGCTCATTTTAGCTACCTTGGAAAATTATCCTTAAAGGTGGTCCAGTTGCTAAGACTATCCAGCATTTTATCCGTGATCTGCTTTCGTATTTCATTGAAGAGTACAGTATTCTCAAGGTAACTTAATTTTTACAGTTAGAAATTACAGTTAAACTTTCTGTAATCTGTTATGGTCGACACTATGTGTTCAGATTTACATGTAAGACCAAACATCTCTTTGTTATCCCTAATATTAGGCTGGGTAATGTTTGCAATGATTCTTTCTTTGATTCCACATTAGAAGAACTAAGTCAATACTTTTTCAACTGAGTTTATTTTCTGTGCTTTATGTATATTTGGGCTTTTTGAGACTTTAAAGGTGATATGATTAGCCTGCATTTATGTAACTTTTATAAATAATATTAATTGTAATTCGTGGTCAAGTCAAGATAATAAAACATCCTTTTTTCTCAGTATTGAAACTTTGACCCATTTCTGGTAAAAAAATTCTCTTCAATCTCACTAAATCCTAAATAGTTCTATATGACATAGGTTGTTTTCTTGTTTGTTTATCATAAGGTTAGGCGTCTCTGGGTGGTGCAAATGGTTAAGTACTCAACTACTAACCGAAAGGTAGATGGTTTGAACCTACTCAGGCGTGCCTCAGAAGAAAGGCCTGGCGATCTTCCAAAAGGTCACAGACTTGAAAACCCTGTGGAGTGCAGTTCTTCTCTGATACAAACTGGGTCGCCATGAGTCAGAATTGACAGCAACTGACAACAACATCATAAGATTGGCAAAACTTTATTATACAATATGCAAACCCAAACTGTAGGAAATTTTAAGTAAAGAAATGATTAAAAGAACTCCAAAGAGAGACTATATGCTGTTTAGGGATACACGTATTTGTTGTAAAAATATAAAGAAATGCACAGGAAGAACAAAGACCAAAATCTGAGAGTGGGAGGAGGATACAGTCAGGGTGGAGCACACAGGAAACTTCAGCTTCATTGGTAAGGTTTCATTTCTGAAGCTGTGTGTCCATTCCATTATTTTTTATACTTTCTTGGATGTCTTGAATATTTCATCATATTTCTCTTAAAACAGGAGAGATAATAGGAACCTTGTATGAGATCTACTATCTGTCTTTTAATCGTAATGATCTATTATAGGCATCAAATTGCTTGATTTTTAAGGTGAACCAAGTTCTCTTGTGCACCTGTATTTCAGTAAATTTGGGTGTGGTCTCAAAGAAAACATGCAAATATTAATCTATGAGTTACTGGGTCATTTTGGGTCCTTCACAAAGCAGACACCTAGACAGGATTAGACATGGCGAGAGATTTATTGGAGGGAAAAGATTAAAGGGGAGGGAGCAGTAGTAGACAGGGAGAGCGTAAGATCGTACTGCAGGCAGGACACCTGTAACAAAAGAGGAGGAAGGAAGGTGGATTGCAGTGCAGTTCTAAGAAAGTGTCAGCCAAGCCCATGGGGAGTTCTCAAGCCAAAGTTGCCTGTTAGAGAAGTCCCACGTCCCATAGTGATGGGCCAGCGCTAGTTCTTTCTCCGTGCTCAGTTGTTGGCTGGGAGCAGCCTGAGAAAGTAGCCTTGGTGGGAACATGGTGGTGGATCTGGAGGGGCGGCAACTGGGGCACTCAGTCAGCTATGCTGCCCACTGCTAGTTCTCTTGAAGGAGATGGGAGTAGCATGTTCCCGTGGCTGCCACACTACCACTTTCATACTCATTATCACTTAGGCTTTAATATCTATTTGTATTTTGAAGAGGAAATCTCAGATGGTTTAATAGGTGCACAAGAAGTTTTTCCTTATCCTGAACTTAATGTAAGTGAAAGTGCATTTCATTTGTGAAGTGCTATTCAGATATTGGTCATAACTGATATTGAATTAGAAGTGAACATGAGAGACAAACGAGCCAAAGTCAGCACTTAGCACATAGTGGATGCTCAATAAATGTCTGTTGACATGAAATAAAACCTAGACTTGTGTTCCTGGTAGAATACTTACTGATGATTTTAGTTATTATTTTCATGACTTAACCTTTCCCCTAATTCCTTTCTCCTCTTTCAACCTGGCTAATGCAAAATGTCCCTATTTAAGAAGAGTGTCTTTTTAAAATATATTTTGTACTAAAATATTAAATAATGTTTTGTCCCATTTACGTGAATAAAAACTTGACTCAGTTTTTTGATAGGTGGCATAAATGGTTAAGTGCTAGACACCTAACCGAAAGGTTGGCAGTTCAGACCCACCCAGAGGTGCCTTGGAAGACAAGCCTGGTGATCTGCCTCGGAAAGGTCACAGCCTTGAAAACCCTATGGAACAGTTCTACTCAGCACACATGGGGTTGCCATGAGTCAGAATTGACTTGAGCAACTAACAACAACAGATATAAAAAATTCATTTGATGAAAATGAAAATTTGATTAAGTTTCTGCTTCTGTCTTATGCCGTTGAAGTCTGTGTCATAACTGGTTAAATTCACCTTTATGGAAATATTCAAGCTATTTTCTGTCATCCACACCATACCTCAATTAATTGAAATGCTTGATTCAAGTAATTGAAAATATCTCCATATGCAAAAATGTGATCATATATTTAAAGTTAGACCAAATGGATGTTACAGAATACCTTTCTGATTTATTATTTTGTCGAAGGGTAATCACTATAACTGAAACAGTGCCCAACTGTTGATTCTCAAGAGATGGGATGAGAGTGCAAAAATCAGATTGGGTAGTTAAAAAAATAAAACCTTGGTTTTCTCCTTTGCATGATACTTTTTCACAAAGATACGTTTTTGTTTAATTTCACAAAACAGATCTTGTGCTTATTGAAGAGGGTTTTAAGTGGTGGAGAAACATTAGTATAAGGTTCTGGCTTATTCACAGAATATCTGACCACTTGTCGAAGTTTAGATATTTAGCCATCATTCTTGTTCATTTTACTTGACGAGGGTGCAGAGCGGAGTGACGGGAGGGTAAGTGGTCACAGAGCTTACTGTCATGCATGATGACTGAGTTCTCAACTCTAAGAAGAATATATCAATATAATGAATGGACAGAATAAACATTTTAAAAACAAAACAGTTTAAAGTGACATTTAAAAAAAAAACAAAACACTTGGCACATATGTGGCAAATACCCAGGAAGGGAGATAACTTCTGGTATGAGTCTTACTCTGGCATTGAAGCTTAGGCGTTCAGTAAAGAACTGAACTCGTTTCCTTAAAAGTGTTTAAGAAAGAGTCTGGATTCACAGCTCACAGTTACCTAGGAGCAGAGATTTTTACCTTTAGTCCAGTGGTTCTCAACTGGGGACACTTCTGTCCCCCAGGGGACATTTGACAATATCTGAAAACATTTTTGATTGTCACAACTTGGGGGTAGGGGAGGGGGAGTTTCCTACTGGCATCTAGAAGACGGAGGCTAGGGGTGCTGCTAAATACCATTCAGGCAACATTCAGGACAGTCCCCCAACAAAGAATTGTCTGGCCCAAAATGTCAATAGTGCCATTGTTGAGAAACCCTACTTTAGTCAAATTTAGCTGAGCCACCACAGAGACAACAGAGAATCCTTTTTTTTTTTAATCAAAATTCAAAATTGCAAATTTTGAGCGATTTATAACTCATTAAGGAAAAAAAAATTCCAAGTAAGACAACTATTTTATTATCTAGCGATATCTTACCCTTACAGGCAATAAGAATGAGCCTAACCTAGGAAAGAACGTCCCTTAGAGCTCCCCGAGTAATCAGTTCCAGTTACTGAGGCCAGTTTTCAAGTGATTTACAACACTGAATGGAATGGAAGTTTGCTTCACTTTGTTTTCTGTTCCCTTTCACCACTTGACTCTGATCCTTCTCTTTTTCTGTTTTTCCTGCTTATGTTCTGATGATCTAAAATCTGGTTGCACTGTAGCCTGGTGAAACTTCAATCTATGTACCGCCTAAAAAATGAAACAACGATAGTATGGTGTTTGCCTGACACCTCGTCAGGGCATTGTGCAGTACTGACTTGAAGTACCACCTGCTGAGTCACTGGCACTACCTTCTGCTACAACCTGTGGTTTCCATAGTGATGTCTCAGTGAATTGCACACAACAGAACCTGACTGGTTAAAGACATGAGCAATTTCCTGCAATTTGGACCGTTTACTAATCTAGAAATGGGAGCATGATTTTGACCATTTTACCAGTCACAATCTTTTGGACTAAAATGCACAAATATGTCTTAAATGAAGTTGTTAGGATAGAACCCTGAGGGAGGAAATAAGGATGGTGGCAATGTGAAAGGGTTACTCCAGAGGATAGAGAAGCGTTGGCAAATACAAAGGATTTAGCCTTGGTGGTGCAGTGGTGAAGATCAATGGCTGCTAACCAAAAGGTCGGTAGTTCAGTTCGAGTCTACTAGCTGCTCCTTGGAAACCCTATGAGGCAGTTCTCTGTCCTATAGGGTTGCTATGAGTCAGAATAGACTCAATGGCAACAGGTTTGTTTTTTTTTTCTTCAGGGAAGAAAAGTTTTGTCAAATGTCTGTCGTCTTGTTACATCTTGCTACTTGGTCACTGCTACAGCCTTTACCTTTGAGGGAACCAGAGGAGGCATATTGCTCTCCAGCCTATTCTTTCATAATCCTTACTCATTTTCAAAAAAAAAAAAAGGAAGGGAAAAGAACAATCACTTTCCCCGCATCCACTGTCCCTTGGTGATATGGACACACAACCGTCTTTTTGTCCCTCTCTCCCTCCCTCCCTTCTTGCCTGCTTGCCTTCCTCCCTCCATCCCTCTTCTCTTTTTCCTCTTTGCCCCCTGTGTTTTCACAATTACAGAACAGAGTAGCGAGGTTTTTTTTTATTCCTGTGAGGTTTTTTTTTTTTTTTTTTTTA